CATACCTGGTTTCTACTTGTTCTTGTTTCCATGGGAACAGTCTCAGCTGATCGTTCAGGTGATCAGCTGACCTTTGACCTTGAGAACTGGATGGATGAAACTCGGCCCAGTTTCAGGAGGTAGAACGTAGAAACTGGTTCTGATGGTTCTACTGATCCAAAGATCAACAAAACGAAGCTGAGAAAATTGAAATCCCATTTGGTTCTGTGCAGTTTGACCCGGATGGGAAAATGTGACTGATCATCGTCTCCACCAGCAGAAGGTTCAACTTTCTTTATTTCACAGGAACAAACTGAGCCGATCAAATGCTGATCAATATGTCTGAACGCAGAAATAAAAACCTCAGCAACTTTCAGCAGCAACATTTCCAAACTCTGCTGAGGCTCCATCTGGTGGCTGAACAGGGAACAGCAGCAGATCCATCATCATCATCATCATCATCTGCAACATTATTCAACCTCCAGAACTTAGAAACATTAACAGGATCCAAACTCCACAAACATGGAGCTGGAAGCAGCTCAAAAAGTCCAACTGGGTCATCAACCCAGAACCTGCAGCCCAGATTCAGTTTGAATCCCATTTTCTACCCTGGATTAGCAAGTAGAGGGAAGGTCCAGTATTCACTGCGACATGGAAATGAGCAGAACTCTCAGCACATCCTGTTCATTCTGATGTATAAAATCCATGAGAAACAAATGAAACATTTCTAAATCAACCTGTTTTAGAACAATCAGGTTGAGTCTCATATTCTTTATCTATTGCCAGATTTTCTTAAATATAGAAAACTGTGAAACTGATTCATTTCTCTGGTCAAATATCTGACTGTCTGAAGACGAGTAAAAAGCGCTGATGTGTCAGTTTTCATGTTGGTGTGAGCCGACCTCTGCTGCAGCTTGATGAACGTTCCCACAGCATTCAGGGAACTGCTTCTGGACACTAATGACGTGTCTGGGACGAGAGTGAAGGACAGAGACAGAGACCAATATGGACACAGAGACAAATAGACCTTTCAAAATAAGAGCTTTCAGCTGCAGTAGATGATTTCCATGAGGAAAATCTTCTGTCTCAGCAACCATTGCAACAAACTTCTGCTGGATCTGAAGCTGGTTCTGTTGGTCCCTCCAGAACCAGCTGTCCCAGTTCTGCTGTTAGCTACCGTTAGCTCTCTAGCTACCTAAACATAGCATCAACAGGGAGAACCAGAAACATCTAATTATGAAACGGCAGCAAAAGGAAGAATAATGATGGAAATCCACCCTGGTAACATGGCATTAAAGGTCAAAGGTCAGGGTTTGCTGGAAAAGGAGGATTAACGTTAGAAACATGAACTCTGAAGTCTGATCTGACAGTTTTTGAACGTTCAGGTCGTCTTCACTGGTCTCAGATTTGGACCTTTGGAGCTTTTTCCTCGCTGACTTTTCTCCCAGACCCGTTTGGATCTCCACCAGCGCTGGGCTGAGAAGCAGCTGCTTTTCTGCTGCTCCGCTTCTAAAACCACAAACATACAGAGAGGAGAAGTCAGGGTTCCTGGAACATTTTACTGAGATGGCACCGACATTTGACTAAAACTCTCAGCAAAGGACTTTCACCCTGAACAACTTCAAATTCAAGTTATAATAAAATAATCCAGGACAAAGAGTTGAGAAGCAGCCAGATCTTCACCAACCTCAGACTGGATCGTCCCTGATCCACTCCGGTCCTCTGGACTGCTGCTGTGAGTCTTCTCATGTTGTTTTAGATAACGGGACAGCTTGAAAGTCTTCCCACACTGCCCACAGCTGTGGGGTTTCTCCTCAGAGTGGGTCTTCTGGTGTTGTCTGAGCCGCTCAGTTCGGTGGAAGACTTTCCCACACTGCTCACATCTGTACGGTTTATCTCCAGTGTGGATGTGGTGATGAGCCACTAAGGATGTCTTCCGAATGAAGAGTTTCCCGCAGAGACCACAGCAGTATGGTGTTGCTCCCCTGTGGATGACCTGATGTGTTTTCAGCTGGTGCCACTGAGTGAAGGTTCTCCCACATGTATCACAGGAGAACGTTCTGTCGGTGTGGAGGAAGCTGTGTCTCTTTTAAGTTCCCTTCCTGGCTGAATGATTTTCCACACTCCCCACACCAAAATGATTTAACTCCAGTGTGAACCCTCTGATGTCTGCTGAGATTTGCTTTGGTGTGGAAAGCCTTCCCACACTGTTGGCAGACGAAGCATCTCCCCTGAATATGAAAGCTCTGATGGGCTTTTAACTTAGATTTTGTTGTGAAACACTTTCCACATTCTTCACAGTTGTGGGGTTTAACTGCAGCGTGGACAAGCTGATGGGTTCTGAGGTCAGTCTTACGAATGAAACCTTTTCCACACTCATCGCAGACAAATGGCCTCTCAGCCAGGTGGAGGAGGAGATGTTTCTTTAAGGAGGTGCTGACTATGAAACATTTTCCACACTGGTCACAGCTGTAGGGGTTTAATCCACTGTGGACCATCTGGTGGTCTCCAAAATGAAGACGATTTGCAAAGGTTTTCCCACACTCGTTGCAAGAGTATCGTCGTGGTTTACTGTGTCGGCGTTTATGTGCATTCAGGTTTAAAGAATTTCTAAAAGTCTTTCCACACTGATCACAGGTGAACTGTTTCTCTGGCTCTCCTGAGTGGGTTTGCTTGTGGAGATAAATGCTTGATTTATGGCTGAACGTCTTTCCACACTGGTCACAACTAAAAGGTCTTTCTCCAGTGTGGACAACACTGTGGGCTTTGACTTGTTTTTCTGTGCGGAAGCTTTTTCCACAGTCATGACAGCTGTGTGACTCATTCCCACTGTGGATCTGCTCATGTTTCTTTAGGTCTGTGGAAGAGATGAACTCTTGTCCACACTTCTCACAGCTGCATGGTTTCACCTCAGAGTGACTACTCTGTTGCATTCTGAAGATCTTGCAGAGGAAACAGATTTCCTCATCGGATCTTTAATGTTGATGTATTTTTGAAAGTTCTGAGGTTTCACTTCATTCCAGCTCTGATTTTCTACAGAGACAAAGAAACAGAAAGTTTCTTTACAGTTTCTTAAATCTTTAATCCAAAATGAAAAGTTTTGTTTGCAGGTTGATTGAGGAGTTAGAATATCTGGCTGTGAATGTTGGCAGTATGTTATGATCTTAGAGACATATCTGAGGATGTGCATCGCAAATTAGCTAAAGCTATAAACGTCATAATGTTCAGGATTTGCATACTTAGCAGTTGTTCCCATGCCGCTAAGAAAGAAGGAACAAGTATGGCGTCTTATATTTGTGAAGCCAATTGATCCCAATATCAACAAAGCATGTGAGACACACAAACACCAAGAGTGAACTTTGACACAGCAGGAAGAGAACCTGGACAAGATCTGGTCAGCAATGAGCCGTCCAAAGTCAAACGTTAATAAGTCATAAAATCACAATGAAAACGTGTCAGAGTTAATATCAACATGTATATTAAAATCAACAGAAACAAAAACAAAATCTATTGTCCCATTAAATAAAGGGTCATTGCATTCAATTGAAAAACTAGTTTTAAATCTTAAACATTAATTACTGCAGGAGCAGCAAAGTAATTAATATATATTGACTATATATTGATATATTGAAAATATGGCAGCAACACCAGCACCTTTCCCATCAGGTATTGGATAACCTACAAATAAAAGACTTAGCAGAGATGCTTAAGTTAATTTAATGTGATCAGTCCTGAAGTAAAGTCTCTGTGGAGAAAGCAGTCAGGCTTATGGAACGTTATATAATTTGTGATGAAGGTTTATTATTAACGGGTCAAACAAGAAAAGTGCAAAACTTAGACAAGTTGTGTAGTAAGTCAGCTGAGGATGATTGTGACCTTTTGACCTTTTGACATTTAAATTGTAGGGGAAACAAAATTTTAGGGCCAAAAACATTCTTAGATTTATTTATATAATGAGGTTTATTTTATTGTTTTCAACATCAGGCTGGATGCACCAAACTGGATAAATGTTTGGTGCATATTTAGATGTTGGCCAGTCATTCTGTTCAACATAAAGTTTTTAAAAATGTATCAACATTTGCTAGAGAAGCATATGTCTATCAACAGATTAAAATGACAACAAATGAAAATCAATAAATTTGATTATCAACTGATTAATCAGTTGATTTGCTACATGATCCAAACTTTTATGAACTTTATATTTAATCAGAAATCAAATCAGCTGCTGCAGATTCAATCTAAATGCTGACTGATAAAATATATTGAAATGTTTCCTTCCTGTTTGATTGATGCTAACATGCTAGTTATAACATGCTGACCCATCTGAGGTTCTGAAGGCGCCATGTTGGTTCTGAGTTCAGACCAAACAGCTGGAGCCTCAGATCTTCATCAGAACCAAATGATAAACTTTACATCAGTTTATCAGACAAACCAAAGAACCACAGTTAGCCTAGCATGCTAACTTCCCTTCCAGCTGCTGACAAACTGTTTCCTATCAGTAACATTTCTGATCATCAGCTGCAGGTTGAAACCAGAGTAATTATTGGTGTAAGCAGTGAAACTAGCTGGTGATTCTGCTGTGTGAGTTTCGCTGTTTTAAACTCACATTTTCTCTGAGCTTCAGTTTCTGCAGCAGCAGTGATGATCCAGATAAAGAGTCTGCAGACAGACTGAGGTCCGCATGGAGGGAAACTGGATGAGTCCAGCAAAAAAACGAACTTTTTCTTCTTCTTCTGATGGTGTGAAATGGCGGTTTGCAGATCAACTGCACAGGTGCAATACCGCCACCTACTGACCTGGAGGAAAGGAAAAACCAAGAAATAAAACTAATACATATTTATCTTTTTTATGACAAGTTGTGTGATAACGCCCCTCCCCCACTACTTTCTTTCTTCTTGTGTTTCATTGGCTGTTGGCTGCAGAAACCAGAGGAAATGAACAGAAAAATAAAACAAGTTTCTCAAAAATGTAATCTTCAGTTTTAATCATTTTGATAATAAAACTTTTGTATTTAATCCTTATTAAGTCCAAAAACAGAATCTTGATTCACGTCTCATTGTCTTGGATTTGAGGCTCCGTCAGGTGGAAGGGTGGAGGAGAACATGGACGGGTCCGGTCCATCACGGGCCAGAACAGAATCACATGGAGGCTTTTGGATCCAGCAGATTTAAAATCTTTAATAGAAGCGATTCAGACACTGAATCCTTCATCTCTGATGAATATAAAACATTTCATGCAGCCGCTCAGTTCAGCAGGTAAAGTCTTTAGAAAGTCTGGATGGCGGTTCTGAATCTGCTCCTCCGGGTCCAGTAGAGAAAGAACGCTCCAGCTCCCAGTGAACCCGACCAGAACCAGAACCAGAGGATCAGGCCACAGCAGGGATGAAATACTGCAGAGAAACGTCTTCATGGAGCAGGACGAGGTGGACCACGTTCTGATGGACAATATCTGAGGAGACAACACAGGGACACTTTACCGCTGCTGCAGAAGAACCGCTGTGGACCTGAAACGGACCAATGCTGAGCCCGGCTGTCCGGGTCCAACAGAACCGTCCTCCAGGAGGCAAAACATCATCAGCAACACAGATGCTTGTTTCTGGACTGTTTTGGACCTGCAGGTTTGGAAGCCCAAAGCACCCGGTTCTGTTGGACCGGACTGCGTGACAGGAGCTGTGGTTCTGGATGAACTCAGAATCGGCGGCGGGACTCACTGCACAGGGCCTTGCTGGGGTTGACCTGCTGACCCACGAGGAACTGCTGCAGCTTCCTGATGTCCACCGTGACCTCTGCCATGACCTCTGGGTCTCTGCTCTGAGACGGACCTCCGTCCTGGGAGGAGTCCTCGCCTGCAGAGACACGGGGACGTTCAGTCAGTCTGAAGAAACCAGAACCAGAACCAGGACTTCAGTCTGGAGAGGAGATGTCACATTCTGTCCTTTTGCTCCTTTTATGAACCAACAGCTGAGACTTTGGTTCTGGACCAACAGGTTCTGGTCCAATAGGTTCTGGACCAGCAGGTTCTGGACCAACAGGTTCTGGTCCAATAGGTTCTGGTCCAATAGGTTCTGGATGTTTTACCCCATGCCGGGTTCCCCAGGTCTTTGAAGTGAGTGGTGACAGAAACCAGGTCGGTCTGGATCTTCAGGTTCATGTCTCCGTTCAGGTTGGCCTCCATCACCTGAAAACACACAAACTTTCCTGAAACGTTTGTTTTGTCTGAAGGAGAAGATTCCAGAGCATCAAACCTCCGATGAGGATCGGATCAATCTCTGGAACAAAACGAGCCTCAAAGACAAAACAAGAGGAACCAGAGTTACCTTTTCCAGGTTTGGTCCAAATATTAAAGCTGCAGAACGAAATGAAAGAAACTCCTGAAACGTGTCGCCTCCATGTTGGATCATCAGGAAATGATGATCATCAAACTCAAGATCTTAAAACTCAGTTTTTCTCTTTTTCTCAATTTTTCCTGAAGTTTTTCTTTGGCTGCTTTGAACTGAACTGCTGATCTGATGATCTGTTAGAAAAAAGCCGTTAAAGCAACAGGTTGTGTCTTGTTTCCATGGACACAAGCTCCACTGATCCAGACCATAATAACACATGAAGCAGCAGCTACTGGTTTTACTGGGACGTCGTCAAGGAGACGAATATGAAACAGAACCAGACTGAGGCTCTGATGCTGCGGCGCCATCTGGTGGCAGTTTGAGGTTCTGACAGCTGAACAGAACCGGGCTCTAACTGGACCTGGACCAGTCAGAGCTGGGAGTCCTACCAGGAAGTTAGAGAGGTTCTTCATCCTGTCCACCACACTCTTCATCATCTTCAGAGGAGGAAGGTAGACGCTCACCTGGAGAGAAACAGCAGGAGGGATGAAGACGAGACGACTTCGCCAGAGAAGAAGAAGAAGGAGAGGAAGATGAAGATGAAGAGGAAACGCTGGGATTGAAAAACGACCCACAAGATCCTCACATCAAAGTCCGGAACGCCGGCTTCCTGGAATTCCTGCCAGAGCCTTCGAGGAATCACGTCAACAGGAACGTCGTGAGTGACGACTCTGCCGACGCTGGACAGGGTGGGCTGGCGGGACACATGGAGGTCAGGGGTCAGAGGTCATCAGATAAACCACTGAACTTCATTCACTCTGAAGAAACGATTCATCAGTTAGAGAAGAGTGAACTAAGTTCTGACCCAGTCGGGTCTGACCCAGCCTTTGGCCCGCAGCATCACAGAACCTCTGCCAGTCAGGTTCTGGTTCAGGTTCTGGTTCTGGTTCTGGTTCGTAGCGGGCTCTAAAAGCTCAGAGATGATCAGAACAGAACCAGAGTTCTCTCACCAGCTCAGCAGCGACGGTAGACAGGCGCAGTGCTTCCTGGTCAGCTTCAGCTTCACCGACTTGGCGGATTGGACCGTCTTCAGGGCCCGGCTCCAGGGTTCTGGACTCACCTCCAGGCAGATCTCTTGGACCTCAGAGGTCACGCCCTCCATCTGGTACTCCTGGAAGAAGTTGGCCTGCAGGAGAACAGAACCGGTCACTAAAACGTCTCGGTCAGCAGCTTCAGGCTCTAAAGGTCTGTCTGAGGTTTTCACTCAGTTTCTGATCATTTTTATAGCTTTGCTGTTTAGGTTTGACCTCTGACCTCTGATGAAAGCATCTGACCCAGCTGTTTCTAACAGAACTTTCCAGACTCAGATCATCTGGTTGTGTTCAGCTCAAAGTTCTGCAGTTGCCTGGTTGGACTCAGAATCTGATTTTATTTCTGTCTCTCCTGTACGGCAAGCCGTTTTCACATAAAATCAGTTTCAACACAGATATCTGAAACTGGTTTCTGATAAGACGTATTAGTGACAGAAGATATCTCTGATCAGTTGGTGAATAATTTTACTACAAAATTACAGATTTAATATTTCTCTCATTACATTCTGATTAGTAGAAATGAGGTCAGATTTCCCACTAAGTTTATATCTACAATGAATTACTGACTATATCACCTATTTCAAGTATTCACAATTAAACTATGACTAGTTATAAAGAAAGTTCCAGGTGTCTCACTTTTTGTATTTTTAAATAGTAGAGAAAATTAAATTGCAGATATTGTGAAATCAAATAATAAGTCACAAATAAATTAGTAATCTGGGATTATAATCCCAGACATAATTGAACTTATCTTGAATTATTCTTACGAGTCAGAATGTAAACACAGATATTTTAAATTACCATTCCTGGGAATGTAAATCTAGTTGTAACAAATCAAATTGTATTTTTAGAAATCTAGAATGTAATTACAGAGTCAGATGAAACGTATTGCATGTTAAAAGAATCAGGGATTTTCAGATTCTCCTGCAGCATCAGATGGAAAAGCTGCAGGTTCCTCCAGACTAAAGGCCAAAGCTGCAGTTTGTGACCCTGCAGATGATCCGGGATGAAACCGTCGGACCTGCAGCAGCTGACACCACATGCCGACTCCTCCGTTGGTGACTTTCCCCGGCACGATGAAGAACAGGTGGTCCGGGGTCAGCCGCAGGACGCAGGTCTTGGTGAGCTTGGAGATGGTGGTGACCACTCCTGGACAGAGGAGCAGCTTTAGACACAGCTGGTTCAGGATCAGGCTAAATGATGAAACCTGGTCTCGGGATCAGGCTAAATGCTGAGACCTGGTCTCAGGATCAGGCTAAATGCTGAAACCTGGTCTCAGATCAGGCTAAATGCTGAAACCTGGTCTCAGGATCAGTCTAAATGCTGAAACCTGGTCTCAGGATCAGACTAAATGCTGAAACCTGGAGGATTTCAGTATTTATGTGGGAAGATTCTGGAATTATCTCACAGATTAAATGCACACAAAACCTCTGCTGTTGAACTAAATAATAGTTTTATTTTTTAAGGTTTACGAACCAACAACAGACTGAAAAACTGTGAGTTTCATTAAAACAACTGAACTTAAACTGATTGATAAACTTAATCTATTATTAGTTAATAATTACAGTTAATAACTGGAAGACAGTTTTTCTAGCTGAACAAATATTTTAGAGGATAAACTGGGAGCTGTTAGTCACCTAAAGTGAACATTTCCTCACATTTGATCACACTAACAAGCTAACGCATTAGCATCTCAACAAGCTAACATGCTAACAGTTTAAAGGGACTCACTGGTGAAGTGGTTCAAACAAGCGATGTCGGTGATTTTCCCCCGAAACTTCATTTCAACCTGAAAATAAAAAGTTTCTGAGGGATTTGAACTCAGTTTAAATTCGGGAGCCAGGCTGTTTGGTCCGTTCCTAAATACGGTTCGACGGAAACAGCGGCTTCTCTGTCAAAGGTTCCTCCTGACAGAAGATCATGAACATTGAGCAGTTGGTGAATAATCTGAAGCTATTTTCACATCTTTTAATGGTGAATATCAACAACACTTTAATTCATTAGAATAAATGTTTTCAAAAGCTGCTATAAAATACATTTAAATGATGTAACAGAAAAAACAGACAAATTTAGGCCCTTCCAAAATGAAAGTTATACTAATGACTTTGTTTTCCCAACTGACAAACTATTTGATACTTAATTCATTGAGAAATAATATTTTGTTTCTATGTTATCATTATTCATTGTCATTATAATTTATCATCAAAATCACTTTCTAGACCTGCTCCAAAAACTGTTTGTCACAAAAGAGAGATGCTGGAGCAAATAAAACTTTATCTTCACTAAGTTTTAGATTCAAATTTTTATGAAGAATAAAATAATATTTCATTTAAAATCAAAAGGTTTCATTGTCTTACTGAAGAAATCCTCATTAACTCACAGAGCTGTTTGCAGCAGCTGATAAAATGACAATTTCATATGAAACATTTGCAGAAAACATCTAAAATATTTTCACATTTTACAAATGGGAAAAGTAAAAATACATGTTAATCCAAAATCTGCATCAATAAGAAAATTTTTGAGTTGAGCTTTATTTTATTTTTCTTGGTTACAGAATGAAAATTAAATAGAAAAAAAAACTTTCCAGTTTAATCAAATTCAGATAAAAATGTAAAAAGTCTCTAAACAGAGTAAAGTTTCATTTTCATCGATCCAAAGAAAAGAAACGATATCAGAAATTAAAGTCCACAGTGGAAACAAACTGCAGAGAGTCCTGAAGTCTTCAATGCTGCTCCATGAGAAAATAAACATGGTGAAAATCTTTCAGGTCAAAGGTCATCATGATCAAATTAGAGTCTCTAGGCTCAAACTGCTGCAGCTTCTGAGGATCAGCAGGAAACAGAGACATTACAAAGATGGTGTCCTCCACCTGCAGAGAGAAGCAAGACGCACAGATCAGATCAGTGAGTTTCCAGCTTCTCTCCAGCAGCAGTCAGTGACGCAGCACATCCAGTAGAAACAGCAGCAGGGCCTTCAGTCCTGATCAGAGCAGCTTCCTTTCAGCTCTCATCTTAACGTGTTGCAGTGAACACACTGAGCTCCAAGCTCACACACCTACACACACTTTCAGCATCCAGTCTGCTTCCTCTGCAGGTTCCACTCAAGTCCACAGTGGAAACAAACTGCTGAGAGTCTGAAGGCTTCACTGCTGCAGCTGCTGCTGCTGCATTTAGACACAAACTGCTGCTGATGAACATCTCATCTGCTGCTGGAACATCAGCTGACTGTCCAACATGGAGGCTGTCCCTGAACACATCTGGATGAGACTGAGGACAGGAGGACACATGTCCAGATGGGAGGAGTGGACTTGGGCAGAAAGAGCAGCTGCTGACTAAATGAATGATGGTTTGTGAAATCAGAGCCAGTGGTTTCCAGGCTGCAGTCAGACTGATCTCAGAGCTGTGACCAACATCAACCTGATCACTTGTTTTTTATCTTTTCTACTAAGTCTGGCATCATTACCAGTGTTCCTGTTTGTGGGGACAAAAACGTTTCTCCTGTTTTCATTATTCTTTTTGAGAAGATGAACAAAAAACAAAATATTGCGTTTATTGCATTTTAATAGTAATAAGGACCTGTGAAAAAAACAATACAACAAACTACTGATATTAGAAAATCTCATTAGTTCTTTTGAGTACTTCTGTATTTTAAGCTAATACTTTTAAATACTTAAGTTTTTTCTAAAATAAGCACTTCAGAACTTTTAACCAAGCTACTTTTACTTTAAGCTGAGCGAGAGTATCACTGACCTCACTTCTCTCATGCACTGACCTCACTTCTCTCATACACTGACCTCACTTCTCTCATACACTGACCTCATTCTCTCATGCACTGACCTCACTTCTCTCATACACTGACCTCACTTCTCTCATACACTGACCTAATTTCTCTCATACACTGACCTCATTTCTCTCATGCACTGACCTCACTTCTCTCATACACTGACCTCACTTCTCTCATACACTGACCTCATTTCTCTCATGCACTGACCTCACTTCTCTCATACACTGACCTCACTTCTCTCATACACTGACCTCACTTCTCTCATGCACTGACCTCACTTCTCTCATACACTGACCTCACTTCTCTCATACACTGACCTCACTTCTCTCATGCACTGACCTCACTTCTCTCATGCACTGACCTCACTTCTCTCATACACTGACCTCATTTCTCTCATGCACTGACCTCACTTCTCTCATACACTGACCTCACTTCTCTCATACACTGACCTAATTTCTCTCATACACTGACCTCATTTCTCTCATGCACTGACCTCACTTCTCTCATACACTGACCTCACTTCTCTCATACACTGACCTCATTTCTCTCATGCACTGACCTCACTTCTCTCATACACTGACCTCACTTCTCTCATACACTGACCTCACTTCTCTCATGCACTGACCTCACTTCTCTCATACACTGACCTCACTTCTCTCATACACTGACCTCACTTCTCTCATACACTGACCTCACTTCTCTCATACACTGACCTCATTTCTCTCATGCACTGACCTCACTTCTCTCATACACTGACCTCACTTCTCTCATACACTGACCTCATTTCTCTCATGCACTGACCTCACTTCTCTCATACACTGACCTCACTTCTCTCATACACTGACCTCACTTCTCTCATGCACTGACCTCACTTCTCTCATACACTGACCTCACTTCTCATACACTGACCTCACTTCTCTCATGCACTGACTCACTTCTCTCATACACTGACCTCACTTCTCTCATACACTGACCTCACTTCTCTCATACACTGACCTCACTTCTCTCATACACTGACCTCACTTCTCTCATACACTGACCTCATTTCTCTCATGCACTGACCTCACTTCTCTCATACACTGACCTCACTTCTCTCATACACTGACCTCATTTCTCTCATGCACTGACCTCACTTCTCTCATACACTGACCTCACTTCTCTCATACACTGACCTCACTTCTCTCATGCACTGACCTCACTTCTCTCATACACTGACCTCACTTCTCTCATACACTGACCTCACTTCTCTCATGCACTGACCTCACTTCTCTCATACACTGACCTCACTTCTCATGCACTGACCTCACTTCTCTCATACACTGACCTCACTTCTCTCATGCACTGACCTCACTTCTCTCATGCACTGACCTCACTTCTCTCATACACTGACCTCACTTCTCTCATACACTGACCTCACTTCTCTCATACACTGACCTCACAGTCTTTACAAGATCCTTCAGCTGCTGAACATTTGACTCCTTCAGGTCGTTTCCTCTCAGGGTCCAGTTCAGTCAGATGGGACGGGTTGGACTTCAGAGCCGAGGCCAAAGAAGCACAACTACTTTTAGACAACTTGCAGCTCTAGTCTGAGAAAAGAATAAAAGATGTGAGCTGAACCAGCAGGTTTCAGGTTAACCAACCAACAGAATCAGTTAAAGAGTCTCATGAATATTAATGCCAACATGTTGGTGCTTCAATAAAGACCTGCTGACTTCAGCTCTTAACTCATCATTCAGTGATTATATATCCTAATTTACTACTAGTGTCTACCATGGGATGGACTACTAGGTATATTTTCCACTCGTCTTATTTTCAGGCAATTTTCAGCTTCAGTCTGAAAACTTGCTGGAAATGTTGCTGGGAATAGGAATTTCTCCCATTGCCAGGTCTAAAGTCACTGGATTCGTTGAAGTTAAATCTGCAGCCCAACACTGACGTTCAACTCATTGTTTCAGGTTTCCTGGTCATTTTATAAATCATGGAGAAAGTGTAATACAGGAAGAAACATTAATTGGACCCGATTGTGGATCAGTAGAATATCAACCATATGTCTGTCTGTGGTTGGCAGGACACAGACTTTTACCTATCAACAGACTTTTCAAATAGCAAACACTGAAACATTCTAATTTACTTCAATATCTGTAGCTTGCATTGAGGATTCTGTAGAAACCGACAAAGATCCTTCACTCCAGCATCTTTCAGGTTGTTCTGTCTCAGGTCCAGTTCTGTCAGATGGGACGGGTTGGACTTCAGAGCTGAGGCCAGATGAGAACAGCTGATCTCTGACAAACTGCAGCTCATCAATCTGGATAAAGAGCAAAAGTCAACTGAGGTCAGCATATGTGTTCAAAGGAAATATCAGCAAATAAATTACAAAAATGTAAATAGACTTGAAACACGCAGAAATAGAACATATTAATACTGGCGTACAGCAGTACTTTAAAAATCTACTTTCATATCCAAACTCTGACAGAGAAATTCATTATTGTACTTTTCTTTAACAGAGAAATATGGCGCATCAGTTTGTGTGTGAATGGCAGGCGACTACAAAGAGCTTCCAGCTCCTGCTGAAGGTTTTAAGGAAAGTTTTCCTCTCTGCCTACGTTTCCATCCAACTGTGATGTGAATTTTGAGTGAATTCTTGAAATCTCACCAAAAAGAAAATGCAGTATCAGCATGTTTTCATCTGGTTTGAAGCGACTCCAGATCCAATTGATTCAATAGATCTAATAATAAGACACAAACCACCAGTGGATGAGAGCGCCCCACCCTGAGGTTGTTAGAGTGTTTTTGCTGTTAATCCAGTTTGAAAAATCAATCTTTTATCCATTGTTTTTAAAGATGAAAATGATTCAATTCAACTGCATTTAATTTTCATTGAGTAATATTTAACAAGCTGAATAGAGAATCCACGACCCTTTACATGGATACATGTGACTCACACTTAAACTATGGACATGCGTTACCCATTCATGTGTAATTAATTAGTTCAGGGTTTTTATATGGATCTGGAGACTGAATCCAGACTCTGCAGCATGGAAGTACAAGCAGTAGCTAAAGTTGTTAAATCAGGGAACTCTAAAAGGATGCATTTGCTCCAAAGCCTCTTTAACTCTTCAATGTTCTGTCAGCCAGATAATGAGATCCACTGTGTCCATTGTCATTTGCAGCATTATACTGTTATTTTATTAACGACTTAAAATAAATGTTTGTAATTCAAACAAAACTTTGTCATATCAAAAGTCAAATAAACCTTGGCGTCTTACTTTAATCTCTGCAGCTTACAGAAGGGAGTCTGAAGAAAACCGCAGACTTTCTTCACTCCTGCATCTTTCAGCTCTTTGTTGTAGCTCAAGTCAAGTTCGATCAGATGTGAAGAGTTGGATTTCAGAACCGAGACCAGAGAGGCACAGCCGAACTCCGACAAACTGCAGTCCCTCAGTCTGCAGAAAGAAAAGACATGAGATGAAACTAACAGAATGAAGGTCAAAACTGAACTGTGAACAAATCAAAAGGAGAAAATTCATTTAACTGAAACCAAAAAATCTGAAATATGATGCAGTGATAGTCATGAACAGCAGTTGTAGAGTGGTGAGGTAGATGCAGTGATGAGAAATGATTAATTTAATGGTGATACAGTACAATAATCCAGGCAGCACAGATGGGCTGAAGTAGCAGCTGGAACACAGCTGGGTTTAAATACACAAGGAAACAACCAGGAGAAACAGGAGCAACCAGGACAACAGAGACTCAGTAACCAAAATAAACACAGAAAAAAACTAATCCTCACACTGACTGTGATGCTTCATCTAGTAACACAGATTTAAATATTTGAACCAAAACCAAAACATTTTATGACATATTATTAGAATATCTTGGTAGGAAAAAGTGGACAGCACCAGGCTTGAACAGTTTCTGCTGCCTGAAGAAGTTTAGTTCACTGCATGAATGCCGAGAAGTACAAGTCAACAACTGTTGAGGAATGGGACCCGCCTGAATGGTGAGTGACGGCAAAAAACTCTGGATCAGAAAACAACTATTCTATCCAACTATCAATCAATAACTTGTCTCTTCCCAATACGAAAGCTGCTGTCAGGCATCATAGCAACGATGATGCTATGAACACCTCAGCTGGCTCCTCTCGATGTGGAGGAGCAGCGGCTCGACTCTGAGCCGCTCCCGGATGACCGAGCCCAGCCACCCAACGGACGAAACCCATTTCGGCCGCTTGCAGAGCGATTGTATTGTTTGTTCTGGGGCGACTGTGGCTTTATGGTGGAGTAGTCGTCTTGCAATCGGAAGGTTGTAGGTTCAATTCCAGCTTCCTCCTGCCACATGTTGATGTGCCTGTGGGCAAGGCACTTAACCTCAAATTGCCTACTGGCGTGTAAATGTGTTTGTGAGTGCAAATGGATGAATGTGACTCTAGTGTAAAGTGCTTTTAGTGGTCAAAATGACTGGAAAAACACTATAAGTTCGGTCCACTTGTCATTTCTATAAACATTAAATAAATTATGAAAAAGTTAGCAAGTATTATTTTGTTGGCCAGGTTTATGATGAACCAGCAGCTCCTGAAATTTCTGTGCACTGCTATGGCAGGAACCAATGAGAAACTTCTCTGAGTAACAGAAACTACAGCAGGTCTGAACTCAGCGCAAAGATATTTGATTGGTTGAAATAGTACAAAGTATCAAGCAGGAAGTTATCGGCATAAACATTCAGCACCAACGCAACTAATCAAGAATAAACATTCGGACAATAGTGCTGAATCAGCATTTACCCAATAACGACATTTGGACTCACCGAGCCTTTTTACAGTTTCCCACGGCTGGAATCAGTCTGAGTCGCCCATTCTCTGATGTGATGTATTTCTTCAGGTCGAATTCATCCAGAACCTCCTCTGACATCTGCAGCATGAAGGCCAGAGCTGAACATTCAGTCTCTGAAAGCTTCTTCTTTGATCTGTTCTCTGATTTCAGAAACTGTTGGATCTCTCGATAAACTGAGAGATCCTTCATCTCCATCAGACAGTGGAAAATGTTGATGCATCTTTCAGGAGAGATTCTATCAGTGTTCATCTCCTTCAGATTGTTGATGATTCTCTGGATGGTTTCTGGACTGTTCTCTGTCTGACCCAGAAGGCCTCCTAACAGTCTCTGGTTGGACTCCAGAATGAGGCCATGAAGGAAACGAACAAACAGGTCCAGGTGACCATTTTTACTGCTGAGGGATTTCTTCATTACTTTTTTCATAAAGTGCTCTAGAGATTTTTCACAGTTTTTTTGCTGCAGCAAGTTCTTTCTCACCTTTATTTTCAAGTTGGTAATATCTTTCTTCAAGAACTTCTCCATCACCTCTGTTTTCTTGGTGGTGAAACAGTGGAACATGTAGACTGCAGCCAGAAACTCCTGAATGCTCAGATGAACAAAGCAGTAGACTGGTTTCTGGAAGATCAGATTCTCTCTTTTGAAGATCTCTGTACAAACTCCTGAGTACACTGAGGCCTCTGTGACCTCCAGACCACACTGCTCCAGGTCTTCTTGGTAGAACATGATGTTTCCTTTCTCCAGATGTTCAAACGCCAGCCTCCCCAGCTTCAGAAGAACTTCCCTGTCAGCCTCCATCAGCTCCTGTGGACTTGTCTCATGTCCTCCATGGTACTTGTTGTTCTTCCTCTTTGTCTGGACCAGCAGGAAGTGTGAGTACATGTCAGTCATGGTCTTGGGTAGCTCTCCTCTCTGCTCTGAGGTCACCATGTTCTCCAGAACTGTAGCAGTGATCCAGCAGAAGACTGGGATTCCACACATGATGTGGAGGCTCCTGGAGGTCTTGATGTGGGAGATGATTCTGCTGGACAGCTCTTCATCACTGAACCTCTTCCTGAAGTACTCCTCCTTCTGGGTGTCGCTGAAGCCTCGTACCTCTGTCGCCCTGGTAACACATGAAGGAGGGATCTGATTGGCCGCTGCAGGTCTGGAAGTTATCCAGATGAGAGCCGAGGGAAGCAGGTTCCCCTTGATGAGGTTTGTCAGCAGAACGTTGACTGATGATTTCTGTGTGACGTCAGAAACCAGCTGACTGCTGCTGAAGTCCAGTGAAAGTCTGCTTTCATCCAGGCCATCAAAGATGAAGAGGAGTTTGCAGCCAGCCAGCTGCTCTGCTGGGAGCTTCTGGAGTGTTGGATGGAAAACATGGAGCAGGGAGAGAAGACTGTGCTGCTGATCTCTGATCAAGTTCAGCTCCCTGAACGAAAGCAGAGCCACCACACTGACATCTTGGTTCTCCAAGCCCTCTGCCCAGTCCAGAGTGAACTTCTGCACTGAGAAGGTTTTTCCAACACCAGCGACGCCGTTGGTCAGAACCACTCTGATGGCTCCATGTTGGTCAGGGAAGGTTTTAAAGATGTCATGGCACCTGATTGGAGAGTCATGGAGGTTCTGGATCTTGGCAGCTCTCTCCAGCTGCTTCACCTCATGCTGGGTATTAACCTCTTCACTTGTCCCTCTGTGATGTAGAGATCAGTGTAGATCCTGTTGAGGAGGGTTCTACTTCCTGTTTCATCACTTCCTTCAGCCACACATTCACATCTCTGCCTCAGACTGATCTTATGTTCCTGAAGAACCTGCTGCAGAACAACATCTGCTGAAATAAAGAAGAAAACATATTTATAGAAAAAAACAGGACATAGTGTGATTTAGCTGGAACAAAAGTATCTGAAACATCTTGTTTCTCAATCAAAGACTGAACTGAATGTGTTTATAGAACAATTAGGCTGGAAATGACATGAGTGTTGCAATTATTACATGCTGCAGGTACACTGCAGCAAAAAATTGCCCAAAAATGTTGCCACCAAAAGGTCATAGACACCAATATTTTGTTGATCTGCCCTTAACTTTAATGTACAATAAGCTTCCATAATGTCACAATATGTGCTTTCATACAGTTTTACCAAAACCTCTAGCAGACCAACATCTGCTGAAACACAGAAGAAAAGATTTTGAAACCATGATTTTGTGTGACTAAGTTGGAACAAAATAATGTACAACATTAGGAATTGAGTGTCATTGTTAGAATTACGTTTCATATACAAATCTATATATATATCTTGTAAACTGTAATATTTTGTCAAAGTAAATAAAGTTTTCTGCCATTCAGACTGAGACCCTGTACTTTTTGTAACAACAGCAGAGCAGCAGGTTGTTTTTCTTCATACATCATTATGAACATGAGCTTTAAGATGTTCACTTTCAATGCATTGTCAACAAAGTGCTGAAAATAGACCCACTGCAGAGCAAAACCATAAGTTTCTGGGTCATATGCATATATTACATTTAGAAGCTGAAATACACAGTTAGCTGAAATAACTGATCACATAAAGATGTTTTAAAAACAGGCTCAACAGACGACAGAAGGAAGCTCTGATTGGAGGAGTTCAGTCTCACCTGGAGCACAGCTGCTCTGATTGGCTGTCAGCAGTCCAGCTGCTGTTCTGGGTCTTTTTCCACACTGGGGGCAGGAGGAGGGTCCAGATGGAGCAGACTGGTCCCAGTAGGACCTGATGCAGTGTCTGCAGAACCAGTGTCCACAGCTGGTGGAGACCGGATCCATCAGAACCTCCTGACACAAAGCACAGCAGGACGGCTGCTCTTCCTCACCAACGCTGCTCCTCTTCCTCCCTCTGTGAAGACATTTCTCCCTTAAAATAGTTTCTACTGAAGCTAAAGATGTTCATCCAGGTCTACCCAAAACCAGGCACCAGAAGCTGAGTCAGAACGTTGATGATGTGTGCTTCAAAACTGCTGGCACCTGGTGACCGGAGGCTTGTTCATCAGTCAAGCATGAATAAAGATGATAATAAGTTACTCCTGCTGATACCTGGGTCCTGGAGGAGACCCAGGTTCAGTCCTACTTTAGAAGAATTGGTTTAAAACCCTGACTGGTCTCTGCAGAGTCACATCCAGCAACATGTTCTGTGAATCTGGTTCTTACTGTGTGTCTGAGGATCCAGGCTCATCACTGAAGAATGGAGGCTTCTCAATGGACCGGTCACTCCTCACAGATGGACAGTTAGTTGTTCTCTGTCTTTGACCTCTGGGACACAAACATGTCATGATTCACATCACATCAATCAAAAACAAGCTATAGACACAAATTGCTGCAGACAAGTTAAAGCTTTAAAACACTTTCATTCCTTATGATACAGCTGACAGGTGACGATTCACTGAGCTGCGTCATTCAGGGACGCAACTCAGTCCCTGAAAACCTGATTCTGACCATTTGGATGGGTGAGCAAATACTTTTGGCAATATAGTGTATGTACTTGTCTCCCTGGATCAGTTTCTAATCAGGAATCAAAGTTTAAATTGTGGTTGGTTCAATGAGAAACTGGATTCTTACTCTGAGGATCCAGGCTCATCACTGAAGAATGGAGGTTGACAATGGACCGGTCACTCCTCACAGATGGACAGTTTGGATGCTGAAGGTTCTGCTCTCCGTCTTTGGTTCCGACCTCTGGAACACAAACATGTTCCAGAGTGAAATATTCAAAGTGTCTTGTTGAATCGTCCTAAATGTTCTGTTCATAACTGGGTTCTTCTGGTCTGGGTCACAAATATCAAACCAACATGGTGGTGTTGATGGTGGCGGTCCGAATGGCCGGTCTCTTCTCAGTTGTTGCATTTATTATTTATTTATTTTATGTTTTTTTTCTTTGACCCCAGAAAGCCTCTGAGCTCAACTATCAGCCAGAAGTTTTTGTTTTGAGAAACTGGCAACGGATAAACAATCAAAATCTGATCCATCATAACACGCCGTAGCAACCACATCATGGCAACCAATCTACTCCATACTCTGTCCCTCTGCTTTGCTGCTCAGTGTGAAATGTCCCCAAAAGTCTTTTTTTATTCATGTGAAATCCCATGGAAAAACATCTGCAGAGTCACGTCCAGCAACACGTTCTCTGAATCTGGTGAATCTGGTGAATCTGGTGAATCTAGTGAATCTGGTTAATCTAATAAATCTAGTGAATCTGGTTAATCTAATAAATCTGGTGAATCTAGTGAATCTGATTAATCTGGGGAATCTGGTGAATCTGGTGAATCTGATGAATCTGGTGAATCTGGTGAATCTGATGAATCTGGTGAATCTGGTGAATCTAATGAATATGGTGAATCTGATTAATCTAATGAATCTGATGAATCTGATGAATCTAGTGAATCTAATGAATCTGGTGAATCTGGTGAATCTAATGAATCTGGTGAATCTGGTGAATCTAATGAATCTGGTGAAACTGGTGAATCTGATGAATCTAGTGAATCTGGTGAATCTGATTAATCTAATGAATCTGATGAATCTGATGAATCTGGTGAATCTAATGAATCTGATGAATCTGGTGAATCTGGTGAATCTAGTGAATCTGGTGAATCTGGTGAATCTGGTGGATCTGGTGAATCTGGTGAATCTGGTGAATCTGGTGAATCTAGTGAATCTGGTGAATCTGGTGAATCTGGTGGATCCTGTGGATCTGGTGAATCTAGTGAATCTGGTGAATCTAGTGAATCTGGTGAATCTAGTGAATCTGGTGAATCTGGTGAATCTGATGAATCTGGTGAATCTGGTGAATCTGGTGAATCTGATGAATCTGGTGAATCTGGTGAATCTGGTGTATCTGGTGGATCTGATGAATCTAGTGAATCTATTGAATCTGGTGAATCTGGTGAATCTGGTGAATCTGGTGAATCTGGTGAATCTGGTGAATCTGATGAATCTGGTGAATCTAGTGAATCTAGTGAATCTGGTGAATCTGGTGAATCTGATGAATCTGGTGAATCTGGTGAATCTGGTGAATCTAATGAATCTGGTGAATCTAGTGAATCTGGTGAATCTAGTGAATCTGGTGAATCTGGTGAATCTGGTGAATCTAATGAATCTGGTGAATCTAGTGAATCTGGTGAATCTGGTGAATCTGGTGAATCTGTTGAATCTAATGAATCTGGTGAATCTAGTGAATCTGGTGAATCTGATGAATCTGGTGAATCTGGTGAATCTGGTGAATCTGGTGAATCTGGTGGATCTGGTGGATCTGGTGAATCTGGTGAATCTGATGAATCTGGTGAATCTGGTGAATCTGGTGAATCTGATGAATCTAGTGAATCTGGTGAATCTGGTGAATCTGGTGGATCTGGTGAATCTGGTGAATCTGGTGAATCTAGTGAATCTGGTGGATCTGATGAATCTGGTGAATCTGGTGAATCTGGTGAATCTGATGAATCTGGTGAATCTGGTGAATCTGGTGAATCTGGTGAATCTGATGAATCTGGTGAATCTGGTGAATCTGATGAATCTAGTGAATCTGGTGGATCTGGTGAATCTGGTGAATCTGGTGAATCTGGTGAATCTGGTGGATCTGGTGAATCTGGTGGATCTGGTGAATCTGATGAATCTGGTGAATCTGGTGAATCTGGTGAATCTGGTGAATCTGGTGGATCTGGTGAATCTGGTGGATCTGGTGAATCTGGTTTCTTACTGTGTGTCTGAGGATCCAGGCTCATCACTGAAGAATGGAGGCTTCTCAATGGACTGGTCACTCCTCACAGATGGACAGTTAGTTGCTCTCTGTCTTTGACCTCTGGACACAAACATGTCATGATTCACATCACATCAGTCAGGATGGGCGATGCAGGAAGCAGAAACAGGATTTTCCCTGCCAATGGGTTTGTGGTTTGATTCCCGGACTGAACGGCGGCTTCACTTCTATCAGACTGAAATCTACAACCCAGTACAGTTAGATTTATACTGGACTTGATATTACCATCAGGATGTGGATTTGATATTGAAAAATGCATTATGAATAAAACTGATTATTATTAATAATGTCTGGACACAAACTGCTGCAAAGGAACAGAAAAATAAAGTTCTGTTGGATCAATCTGCACATTTTCTCCACGGGTTCTACTGGTCTGGATCACATCCAGGGAATATATTTTTGTTTTTCTTTGTTCATTTAACTCTAAAAAGGACAACAGCTCATCAGCTTCAGGTCCAGAGAGACTGGGTCAGACTCAACCCTCATCCGCCTCATCAGGTTTTGTTTCTCAGATCTGGAGGCCATTTGCTCTGAGAGCTGATTAGTGTGGAGGAGAAAAATCCTGTTTTATCATGAGCAGCACCAGCACATGATGTCTGTGATCATGCATCACGTCTCTGAAGAACGTTTTGTCTTTGTCCACTGAAGACAGAAACGGATCAGCTGGGATCAGCCTGTGTGAAATCTTGGAACTGCACCTTTAACTTGTGTCTTTCATTTTATTCTTTGGTTTTACTTTTCAATAAAGTTTATGAATATTGGCACACATTACCTAAATCCAAAAGATTTCATGTTTAAAAATAAAAAATATTTGTATGTAAAACAAACTAATCAGCTGAATTATTTGAATCATGTTTGGATTAGCAGATCATTCTATGACACAAAGTTAAATATCTGGTTCTTTTGGGTCGATCAAAACTATAATTCTGAGGTTTTTTGTTTCTGAAAACATCATCGGCGTGAAGCTGAACGACTGCTGCACGTTCTCAGATCCACGTCCGTAATCCTGAGGATCACATGAGAATGAAGACAAGAAGAAACAAACTGGACGTTAAATGAGACCCAACAACAAAGAAGGTGCTGATAGCATGAAGCTCCCAGTTTAGAAGCTTCATGTTCCCAGTGGATAAACTGGACCATGAATCATTTGGGTCCAGTTCTTCTAATTCACAGCTGGATCCATTGTTCCCAGTGTAGAAACTCCTGAACCATCAGTGAATCGTTGTTTCTGTTTTCATCCATCAATTCATTCAAACTGATTTTCTAACATACTTTGTGTTTATTAAACTCCATCATCAGTTAAAAATCAAGTTACATTTTATTCAGATCAGCCTCTTAATGTTCGCTCCATCATGTCTTTGTGGAGAGACATTAATCAGAAACTGCTTTCTTACTTCATGTCTGAGGCTTCAGGGTGAAGTATGGAGGATATTGTTGACAGTGATTGTTTCTCTTTGACAGGAAGTTGGACCTGGATGGTTCTGTCCTGTCTTGCTTTAGTCCATCTTCTGAACTTCAGTCAGTCAGAGAGGGAAACCAGAACCAGTCGGGTCCCAGTGATCCAGTTCCAGTAACTGTCCTGTAAAGCAGAAAAAAATGATTCCCATCATCATGAACCTGATTCCAGCAGGAAACATCGGGCTTTGACTGTTCCTCTCCTTCATGGTGTTTCTGATGTCTGCTGGCTGGTATTTAGAGTCAGTTTTATATATTTTATCAGAATTCAGAGACTTTTTTTTACTTTATCTTCTGACCTGCAAACTAAACCAGAATAAAGTTCTTCTGTTTTCCACCAAGGACTTTAGCAAACTTCTCCAGAGAATGGTGAATGTGGATCTGATCGCTGGATCTGTAAACGGGAGAAAGTCACTGAAGATTCAAAATAACGAAACTGACAGACAGACAGACAACGAGCTCTGAGACAAACTGTCTCCCTCTCTTGAGACGTTACCCAAAATAAATCCCATCCTTTAGTTCTGAGAATCTGTTGAACGAGGCGCGCCGTTACGTCATGTTGGAGTTTGATATCATGCAGTCAGTGTGGATGCCTCAACTGTCAGATGTTGTTTTTCCTTGTGAATTCCCTTCGAAAGTGCAGAAACCTGTTCAGGGAATTCCTGTGATTCCGGTTTGATTGCTGCTGTGCTTGTTGCTGCAGCCTGATGCTGCAGCCTGATGCTGTAGCCGATGACCACAGATCGACAGAACGACCTGAATCTCAGCTTGTCCTTTGGAGGCAACATGAGAACTTTTCCATCCTCACAGATCAGGACAGAACCAAACGCTAACTGTTCAACAAACAGAAACAAATAGAAACCAGATCCCAACAAACCAACCAGCAGTTCCCCAAGCAGACGTCCCACTGGACACGAGTCTGAAACCAGGAATCTGAGGATCCCAACACGGAAAACCAGGAAGAATCTGCATGGTGGGTCCTCATCCCAGTCCAAACACACGACTGTCAGGATAATTGAGTCCTCTAAATTCTCCCGAGGTGTGTGTGTGTGTGTGTGTGTGTGTGTGTGTGTGTGTGTGTGTGTGTGTGTGTGTGTGTGTGTGTGTGTGTGTGTGTGTGTGTTACAGACTGGTGACCTCTCCAGGTGACCCCTGCCTCTCGCCCAAAATGTGTCACTAGAAACTGGCACCAGCAGCTCCTGACCCCAACAGGGTCAAAGGTGTAAAAAATGGATGGATGGATGAAGACGGAGCACATGACCCAGTTCCACTGTCAGGTCTAGAACTGGGTCCCTGTGGCTCAGACTTTAACATACTGATAGTTTATAAATCACTGAACACGAAAGATCTGCTGTTGTATCAGAACCAGAACCAGAACCCTGGTTCAGGTTTGCTCTATATCAGAACCAGAACCAAACATGGAGAAGCAGCGTTCAGCTTCTATGCACCACAAATCTGAACAAACTTCCAGGAAACTGTAAAACTGCAGAAACACTGAGATCCTTTTAGAAAAGACTGAAACCTGAATCTTTTATGTAAATCAGGTAAAATGTTTTCAAACACTTTGATCTGAAGCTTTGACAGAATCAGGACCAGCTGGTTGCTCAACATTCCTACAAAATGAACTTCCTCATGTTCTGTCTGTCCCAGTAAACACATCGATTCTGCTGAACATATCGAGAATGAATGCTGAATGAATGCTGAAGCTTTGGCCCAACGCTGCAATAAGAACAGAATCTGATCTCTGTCTGAATTTTCCTTCTGGTTTTTTTTACGTTTTTCCTCCCAGATTGAAACTGGTTCTGTGTTCAGATCCAGTTAAAATATGAACCTGATTCAGCTGCACTGCATGCAGTCAGACTGATTTACCTTCACTAAGCTGCTTTTCTCTGACATTATGAACATTATGAACATTATTATGAACATAATGAACATTATTATGAACATAATGAACATTATTATGAACATAATGAACATTATTATGAACATAATGAACATTATTATGAACATTATGAACATTATTATGAACATAATGAAGAGAACCAGTGAAACTTGCAGCTTTAAGATGTTCAAAATCTCCCACATTCTCAAATTTGGATTTTGTCTGAAGAAAAGCCAACAAAAAATTCAAACAGGAAATCAGAATGTGAGAGGAACCACTGATCCATGAAGCCGGGTATCAGCCTGGTTCCGAAGGAGAACCGGTGGTTCTGGTTCCATCCCAGAGGGAACATGAAGTTAACACTCACCTGATCCAGTTTGTGTCTTTGTTCTGTTTGTGTTGGAGTCTGAATCTGTTTCTGCTGAAATAATGCATGACTGCAACTGAGGCTCCTTAGGCTCCGCCCCCTGCCCAGGTGATTAAACACCTTTACTGTCATGTTTTCTCTTTGTGTCAAAGATGAACTGAGATCTGAAACACCGTTTAAACCAGCTGTGGTGTAAACGGAGCGACGTGGTTGAAGCAGTGAGAAGATGCCTGGAAAAACATGAAACAAACATAAACGAACCAGGAATAAAGACAAACATGGCAACAGAATTATAACCATGATTTCTCATCACACCTCCAACAACACAAGCCAACGATGACATCATCAGTATCCCTGTCACAGGAAGGCAGCAGTTATTACAATAGCGCCCCCTGCTGGACGATGGCACCACTTTCAATCTGACACAGATTGAAGTTCCTTCAATAAAATAAATTATTGAATTTTGAAAAATATCTTCAAACATGGAAACTGGAGGTGTTTGAGTTTTGGTTCTAGTGATTCTTCAGGTTTTGTTCTGATGCCTGAAGCAACGAAACAGCAGAAAGAGTTTAAAATCCTGAAACTCTCTCAATTCATCAAAACCTTTTCACATCCACGTTTCAAAAAAAGAGCAGATAAACATGTTTAACTTCCTGCTCACTAAAGAATGACATGTCTTAATGGAGACGTGACGAATGATGATGAGGAGGAGGAAGAGCTGAACTTTACCGTCAGTTTGCTTCTATTGGAAACCTGGAGGAGGCTGCTGCCACCTGGTGGCTGGTCCAGGTGTTGGCCGATCCAGGTGTTGGCTGCTGCCACCTGGTGGCCGGTCCAGTGTTGGCTGGTCCAGGTGTTGGCTGCTGCCACCTGGTGGCTGGTCCAGGTGTTGGCCAGTCCAGGTGTTGGCTGCTGCCACCTGGTGGCTGGTCCAGGTGTTGGCTGGTCCAGGTGTTGGCTGCTGCCACCTGGTGGCTGGTCCAGTGTTGGCTGCTGCCACCTGGTGGCCGGTCCAGGTGTTGGCTGGTCCAGGTGTTGGCTGCTGCCACCTGGTGGCTGGTCCAGGTGTTGGCTGCTGCCACCTGGTGGCTGGTCCAGGTGTTGGCTGCTGCCACCTGGTGGCCGGTCCAGGTGTTGGCTGCTGCCACCTGGTGGCTGGTCCAGGTGTTGGCTGCTGCCACCTGGTGGCTGGTCCAGGTGTTGGCTGCTGCCACCTGGTGGCTGGTCCAGGTGTTGGCTGCTGCCACCTGGTGGCTGGTCCAGGTGTTGGCCGGTCCAGGTGTTGGCTGCTGCCACCTGGTGGCTGGTCCAGGTGTTGGCTGCTGCCACCTGGTGGCCGGTCCAGGTGTTGGCCGGTCCAGGTGTTGGCTGCTGCCACCTGGTGGCCGGTCCAGGTGTTGGCTGCTGCCACCTGGTGGCTGGTCCAGGTGTTGGCTGCTGCCACCTGGTGGCCGGTCCAGGTGTTGGCTGCTGCCACCTGGTGGCTGGTCCAGGTGTTGGTCGCCTGAGGCTCTGAGTTTTTGTCTCTGTTGTTTCCCAGATCATTTCGAGTTGAACTTACCTGTTCATTTCTCTCTAGTGACCTCTGCTGTTGAAACTGTAGCAGCCTGTCACTCAGAGAGAAAATGAGTAAGTGTAATATTGTCACAAAGTTTAAGTGAAGCTCATGTTTAGTAACAGGAAAGTTGATGAAATCCTATTGAACTGTAATCTTCTTTAGTTATTAAAATGATTTGTATCCAGTGCTGGTAAATGTTTATTGTCATCGACTGATTTGACACATTTGATGTTTTCAGACGATGTTTTGATTTTTCTATCGGTTCTGATTTGATCCTTCATGTTTTTATTCATCAGGACAGAATTTTACTTTTCCAACATCTTTAGTCTATTTCTGCTTTGCAGACCGAAATAGTGAGACTTATTAATAAAATATAAACATTATTTTTTGTTGTGGTACCAAACAAAAACAAACAAACAAACAAACAAACAAACATGTCATCCAGAATTAAACTTCTGTTCATTTATTACAGGAGGCTTTTTCTTTTATATACAGAGACATTTATTTGCAAAATACTAAAAAGTATTTCAACTCAAAGTACTAAAAAGTATATGTATATAATTATATATAGATCTTCATGTTATAATAGTGTAACTGTGTCTAAAACAGCGGGGTGGGGTCAGAGGTCACAGAGGCACGGCTGTCGCCTCTTTACACCAGGTTTCACCGGCTGTCTGCAGAAGAAAAGCTTCAGACTCGTTTTTAACTCGGGACCAAAAAAAAAACCTTTTTAAATTCATATTTTGGTTTTGCCGTCTACTTTAACTACTGGACACTTCCGTCTGATTTAGTTCACATATTTCTGCCGGGTTTAGCAGCTCGTTTAGCTCCAGCTAAGCTACGTTTGGGAATATTTGCTGTGTCCTACGGAGATGAGCTTCTGGATATGGAATCGGAGTAAAAACGGGTCGACAGCCGCATGAAACCAGCTGCGGTGTAAACGGAGCGACGTGGTTGAAGCAGTGAGAAGATGCCCGGAAAAATCCACAAAAACTTCAAAACATCATCGTTATTATTGTATTATTGTCCAGCATCACTCACCTCGGTGACACAACGCTTGTATTGCATCTATTACACAATAAATAGAACGACAGTAAGAATGAAGAAGAACCAGGTTTCTGTGCATTTTCTCCGTGTTTGGATATCAGAGGTGAAGAAGCAGCTTTTGGTTTCAAACAGGGAAGAAGGAGCAGATTCCCAGAGCCCCTCTGACCCAAACATGGGCTCCACAGCGCCACCTAGCCTCGCACAGCTGGCTGCTCGGTTTGTGCTCGGACTGAACCTGAACCCTGAATCCCAGGTCCAGATTCACTGAAACCAGCTTCAGGTTGTGCATTTTGCTGCCAAGTGAGTCAGATAAGGCACAACAACTTCTGGAAAAAAGTTCTAGACTGACCTGTTCACATAGAAGCTGCGCTGACCGAGTCAGAACCGCTCCGGGTTTTACGTTTTAACATCTCCATGCAGAAAGTTCCCCTCACTTCACCGTCCAGCTGAACTGCAGACCTCTAGAAATAGAAAGTATCCCTCGCTCACTGCAAAACTAAATGTTACAAAGTCTTGATGGAGATTCTAGTGCAGAATCTAAACTCATGAAATAAAAATGATTCATAAGTAACTTTTCCAGCTTCAGTCAATAATTCCTTAATGTTCAAGTTCAACTGGCAGAAAATCTGGTTTATTTTATTAATGTTAAGATATTTTAAAGTCAGTTTTACTCTAAATATTTGGATCAGAAAACTTGGTAACTTTGTTTGTAGTGCAGATTTTTCTGTCTTGATCCCATCAGTAGATTTTAAACGAGTTTTCTTTGTTTTATTGAAATGATTCCCGTTTCTCAGTCGGTTCCCAAACATCCAGCAGATCAGACTCATACTCACCCAGATCTGGACCTGCTGCAGCAACGAGTTCCTCTCCACTGTCACCACATGCTTGTTCAGGATGAATGAATGAATGAATGAATGAATGAATGAATGAAATGAATGAATGAATGAATGAATGAATGAATGAATGAATGAATGAATGCTCCATCTGCTTCCTCAGGTAAAACAAACTGACTGATAATCAGGATCATCTTTGTAAATGTTGTTATCATCTGATGGATCACAGGACAGATTCTAGAAACTAACGGACCAGATCTGAACTCCTGCTCCATGAACCGCTTCACCACCGAGCAGCAAATCGTTTACACACCTGATCCTGTGTCTCCGGGTTTCTGAGGACTTCTCATAGTGATCAAATGTTGATTTCAGTGAATCTGAACCTTTCTGCAGGTAAAACTATCAGCAGCTAGTGATCCAATCAGCCGCCTGATTTCAGCTGTTGGGAGGGCTGTGGGCTGTTAATGGTTAAAACTGTGACTCGTTACCCAACAGGCCACATGTTGCAGCAGCCAATCAGTGAATCAGTGGACGGGCGGCATGGCTTGGCATGTTGGCTTCATGTATCCAGGCACACTCTGGGTCTATTGCTACTGAAAACAGCCCTTCAGCACTGCAACCTGAAAACGCCTCAGAGAGTCCAGCAGTGTTTTTACCTCATGGTCATCTGTCCTCCACGGGTCGAGTAGAAATAGAGTCCAGACGGTGCCAGTAAAACCTTGTTGTGTCGTATTTAAAATGTGTTTATTAAAGCGTCGTTTAGTAAAGATCCTCGGGTGAGACGGACGGAGCCGACGCTGTACAGCTTCACCCAACATCTCCACTTCCTGTCGGCCATCTTGGATTGGCTGGGAGTCCACAGGAACACCGTTTCAGTGCTGCACCGCCGCAGGAGTTCCTCAGGGCGGCGCTCAAAGTGTCGAAGTGGATCCTGTCTGGCCGAGTCAAACCGGTTTCAGCAAACAGTTATTGCTTCAGCAGTTTGTCTGTTTGAGTTTCTTTGTGCAAATAGATAAAGAGCCGCTCCGCGTCGGCCGCTCCGCTCTCTACACCCAAAACACGAAATCAAAGAAATAAATAATAAGCAAAGAAATTTAGATTCTCATCTCTGACTGTTTCCAAACTGAAGAAACGCTTCAAACCTCGGAGCAGAAACGATTCCAGTGTCCAAGAACCTGCAGCCCGGTTCCTGGTTCTGCTCGGGTCCAGAACCAACCAACCTGCCTGTTTACGCCTCAGCACAAGCATCCGCTCCACAGACCGGTTTCATTCAGGTGTCTAACGAGGAACCAACCAAACTGGACTGAACCGGATCGAACCGGACTGAACCGGATCGAACCGGACTGAACCGGATCGAACCGGACTGAACCGGATCGAACCGGACTGAACCGGATCGAACTGGACTGAACCGGATCAAACTGGACTGAACTGGATCGAACTGGACTGAACCGGATCGAACCGGACTGAACCGGATCGAACCGGACTGAACCGGATCAAACTGGACTGAACCGGATCGAACCGGACTGAACCGGATCGAACCGGACTGAACCGGATCAAACCGGTTCATTTCGACCAACTGGACCAAAACAGCAGCTCTGGTTCCCTGAGAAGGTTTGATCGAATGTTTTTGGGTTTTTGTTCTGATATTTCAGTAGAAAAGGTTCAGAAATTTGTGTTTTTTGATCTTTTCTGTTTTCTGCTGATAAAATGTTGAGATGGAGTCAAAGCTGAGGAAACGGGTTGAGCAGCAGTCGGGTTTCTGGTTCTGGTCCAGAAAACCAACCAAATCCTCTGTGCCAAAACCAGAGCAGTCCATCTGGAATTACCTCTGGTTTGTACTGAAGCTGAGGTCAGCGGCGGGGTCACGCACTGCTGTGGGACGGCGTCCTGTTCTTGTGTTGATTCATGACCAGCAAACCCAAACTGATCCACGAAACTCCAAAAACACAAATCATTGAAATATTTCTGTTCAAACATCTTTGTTTTCTTGAAATAATAAAACTAATTTAAAATTTTTAAATTGGTTTTAAGTCGTTTATTACTGGAAACAAAATGATTTATCTGGATTAAAATCTACATTTCTTAGTTTTATCTTATTTCAAGAGAACTTTGACATTTTTACTACAACTTAGACTCAACATGTTTTTGTGTTTTTGCAGTGAAGTTTGAGCCTCAATGTGTTTCTGCAACAGGAATTCAACCTTCAACCAAAGCTGCTTGGCATCAGCAGAGAGGATTTTACAGCCCAACCCGCAAACTTGAGGCCTGACCTTGAAGGAAGGTCAACTGAAGGTCAACTGAAGGTCAAAACATCCTGGGAAACAAAACTTCAGTCTCTCCGCTGCAGCTGCTTGTGCAGAGACAAAGTTTCAAACTGAATCATTTACATAAACTTGTATAAATTCATACAAGTTCAAAATCTGCCGTGGTTATAAATGACAAAGAGTCAAACCAGAGCTTCAGGTTTCTCCTGGACGCTGCTGGCAGCCAGCGATGACATCAGCATCCTGAGCTCTCATCCGGGTCGGAACCGAACCAGAAACGCATCCAGCTGAACTCGGACCGGACTGAACTCGGACCGGACCGGACCGAACTCGGACCGGACCGAACTCAGACCGGACCGGACCGAACTCGGACCGGACCGAAAGGTAATGAGGATCAGCCAGAGATGCTGAACCTGCTGACGGTTCAGATCTCGTCATCATCTGATGGAGCCTCGCAGATCGATAAGATCTTCCATGATCTTCCATGATCTTCCTGGCAGGTCGCAGGTCGCCCAGCTCTCGTTAGGCGATTATCACCCAGGCGAGTCGCAGTTTGGGATTTCTTTGTGCATTCGTTGGTTTTGGTGTCAGAGCAGAAGAAACGCCTCCCGTCTTTTGACTGAAGGCCAGTAAAGTGACGGCGAAATGTAAACTCAAAAGTGCAAAAAACGCCCAAAAGAAAATCAAAAGATTGTTTGTTTTTTTTTTCGGGTTTTGAGGTTTTATCTCTCGATTTCCAGACGGTTCATCACAGCGAGCGCAACTCCAAAGGCTTCTCTTTAACTTTCTCTAAAAATATAAAAAATAGTAATAATGTTAAAAGACTTGGAACATCAACGACGTTTTACTAGGAAAGGATCTTTGTGAAATGCGCTGCTGTCTGTCAGGTCTGAGCCCGAAACGCAGACGGACCCGCCGGTCCTACGGCCGGTGAACGGTAAGGAGGCAGACCCTCCCGACGCCGCGGCGATAAATGACGGGTGATATCTGACCGGGTCAGACCGGGTCAGAACCGAGCTCGTCATGTTTCGCTGCAGGCTGACGCCTCGTCTGTTGGCGGTTCTTCAGAATCTGCTTTCAGAAAAACGTTTTCCTTTCAGACTCCAAGGGGAAAAGATTAAAGGTGTTGAATCTTCCTCTCTTCATCGTCCAGCTCTGGTTCCGGCTGATCCGACGGTCCTCAGCTTCGGTACATTCAGTGACAATCAGAACTTGTTCTCTTTGGGTTCCTGCTAAGGTTCTGTTTCCGTCTTTCTGTCGGCTTCAGGCGGTTCTGTCTCTTCGCTGCCTTCGCCGGCCGGTTGTGCCGTGGCAGCGAGCGGCGGGACGTTTTCGGACGCGGCTCGCGTCACGCTGCTGTAGGACGGCGGCGATGAGGTGGAGGAGATGGTGGAGGAGCGCTCCACCCCCAGCAGACTGGACCCGTAGTTCTCCTTCATCATGGTGGCTATCAGCCCCTCCTTCTCCGGCGCGTCCTCCCCAAACATCACCTCGCCGCCCTCCTCGCCCTCGCTGTGGTCGTGCCGCGGCGTGGTGAACTGCCGGTACATGTAGGAGGCGGCCTTCATCTGGCGCCTCACCAGGTGGCGCCGATAGCACCTCTGGATGATGGTGGCCGACACGTCTTCCTGCTTGCGCCGCAGAGTCGTGGTGATCGGCTCGTAGGAAATCTTGGAAGGGTTGGAAATCATGAACTTCTCCTCCATCTGCTGCTTGAGGGCGTCCATCTCGCCCGACTCGCCCAGGACGCGCTTGGTGAAGGCGAACAGGATGTCCAGGCAGTGGATCTTGTCTCCGCTGACCATGGGCAGGTCCATGGAGATCAGCTTGATCTTGTTGGGCTTGCCGATGCGGAGAGGCTCCAGAAGAGAATCTGCAAAGTCGGACAGCTTGGAGTACTCTATGAACTGCGTGGCTTCCGGGTCGAACTTCTCCCAAACCTCGTAGAACATCTCGAAGTCGTCCTCGCTCAGCGGCTCGGTGCTCTCCTCCGTGGCCACGCTGAAGTTCTCCAGGATGATGGCGATGTACATGTTGACCACGATGAGGAAGGAGATGATGATGTAGGTGACGAAGAAGGTGATGCCCACCGACGGGTTCCCGCAGTTCCCCTTGACGGTGGTGCCGGTGTGGGGCAGGTGGGGTCGCACTCCTCGGGGGAGTTGTTGAGGATGGGGCTGAGCAGACTGTCCCACCCTGCAGACGTGGTGATCTGGAACAAACACAGCATGCTGTTCCCAAACGTCTCAAAGTTAAACATGTCGTCGATGCCCCCTGCCGCTTCACGTAGGCGAAGTTCGCCATGCCGAAGATGGCGTAGATGAACATGACGAGGAAGAGGAGCAGCCCGATGTTGAAGAGGGCAGGAAGTGACATCATGAGGGCGAACAGCAACGTCCGAATGCCCTTGGCTCCTCTGATGAGGCGCAGGATTCGGCCGATCCGGGCCAGTCGGATCACTCTGAGAGTCGGCGACACAAAGTACTTCTCGATGATATCAGCGAGAACGATTCCTGAAAGACAAGAAGAAACCAATGAAGTTGAGATGAACTGTCAGAAAATACACCACTGGCCAAAACCAACCAGGAATCAGGATGAACGGTTGAGCTAACCGGAGTCCGGTTCGGCTTTGAGGTTTGAACCTAACCGACCTCTGACCTCTGGTCCTCCAAACCTGGGTCTGGTTCAGTTTGAATGTGAACGCCAAGTGGACCAGAAACGCTCCAAAAGCAGGAGGTGACGACACCGCAGGGCATTCTGGGTAAATCCAACCAAAGCTAATATGTTAGCCTAGCGCTAGCATCAGAAATGGCGCTGGTCTTCAGCCAAAGACTAAAGACAAATCACTAAACTCTGACGCCTCCATCTTGTTTCATCTGGTGAAACAGGAAGTTGCTCTCAGTGTCTTCAGAGGTTTTAGTGTCGTTTCCTGCAGTGGTTGTTGGTGCAGCGCCCCCACAGGCCAGGAGGGAAACAGGCTGGTTTGACTCAGAGAAGCTGGAGGTGGAGCAGATGTTCTGGTTCCAGTAGAACCGGGTCGATTGGACCGTCAGGAAAAAAAACAGCCTAAAACAAAATATGTGACACCTGGATGAGGATCAGCGCTTTGCTTTCTGTGCTCTGCCAGGATGTAGGAGTTTAAGCATCACTCAGAGCATGTTTCTGATGAAGTAAAACTAAAACAGCACATTTCAGGTAACATAATAATCATCTGTCCTTCCTGGTGGAATAACCGGGAATCTGTGAGTCTTCAGATGCATTTTATCTGGAGTCGATCTGTGAGCTGCTTCATGTAGAAACTCTCACTCCGTTCAGCGGCGACCCGTCGGGTTTACTGCAGCCTGAGTTACTGGTTCTGGAGGACTGAGTCGCCGCTCTCCTGCTACGAGCAAATCAGTCAGACGCTGTAATTCATCCATCTTACCCCGGAGCGATAACAGGAGGAGGAGCTCTCTCTCTCACACACACACACACACACACACACACACACACACACACACACACACACACACACGGTCTCAGGATCATGTTGTCTGGGTGTCACTGTAAGCTGCTGACGGTAAAGATGATGAACAGAACCGCGTCTGGAGACCAAACCAGCCAGTCCTTAAAAACACTTCAGTCCATAAATCTAACATTCCATCTTAAAATATCTTAAATTTATGGGTAAGCAATAAGTTGGCCTTAATGTCTATGTAATTTCTATGTAGTTTTTTTTGTGGGATTTTTCTGTGCAAAGATACATTCATGTGACTTGAGATGGTTTCGGCTACCGGTAAATAGCTGCTAATGAACTCTTGCTTGCTAGTTAGTTAGGGTAAAGCTAACTACCAACAAGTGGCTTTTTCGCAGCCACTGTGGGAAAATGCAAATTTATTACCAGCTGGCTGGTTTATTCAGTCATTGATCTATTGATGTTGCCAACAAAACAGATCAATAGCTTTATGGACAGTTAGCTAAGTGGACCAATAGCTAAACGGACAGTTAGCTAAACAGAGAGTAGCTAAACAATCCATTAGCTAAACAGAGAGTTAGCTAAACAATCCATTAGCTAAACAGAGAGTTAGCTAAACGGAGAGTTAGCTAAACAGACTGTTAGCTAAACAGTCAGCTGATGTTCACCATCTGAGGTTGATCTGGTTTCTGACCCGAACACTTGGCGATCACTGTTCAATCAGCCTCAGCCTTAAAGCGACAGCGCTCACCGACGATGGAGAGGATGACGACCACGAAGTCGAAGATGTTCCAGCCGACGGTGAAGAAGTAGCAGCGCAGCCCCATGATCTTGATGCTGCACTCGGTGGTGAAGACGACGATGAAGGCCAGGTTGATGTAGTAGAGGATCTTCTCCATCTGCGGCGACTGTTCGTCCGTCTCCACCATCATGGTGATCATGTTGAAGAGGATCAGAACCATGATGATGATGTCGAAGGCCTGCTTCCCCACCAGGTCGAAGAAGAAGCCCTGCAGGTCGTTCTGGAGACGGAGACAGACGGCGGCTCACAGACTGGTCCATTCAGCACCATCTTCCTGGTTCTGATCGGGTCTGATCGGGTCTGATCAGTTCTGATCGTGTCTGATCAGGTCTGATTGGTTCTGATCGTGTCTGATCAGGTCTGATCGGTTCTGATCGGGTCTGATCGGGTCTGATCGGTTCTGATCGGTTCTGATCGGGTCTGATCAGTTCTATCGGGTCTGATCGGTTCTGATCGGGTCTGATCGGTTCTGATCAGGTCTGATCGGGTCTGATCGGTTCTGATCGGGTCTGATCGGTTCTGATCGTGTCTGATCGGGTCTGATCGGTTCTGATCGGGTCTGATCGGTTCTGATCAGTTCTATCGGGTCTGATCAGGTCTGATCGGGTCTGATCGGTTCTGATCGGGTCTGATCGGGTCTGATCGGGTCTGATCGGGTCTGATCGTGTCTGATCAGTTCTGATTGGTTCTATCGGGTCTGATCAGTTCTGATCAGTTCTGATCGGGTCTGATCGGTTCTGATCGGGTCTGATCGTGTCTGATCAGTTCTGATTGGTTCTATCGGGTCTGATCAGTTCTGATCGGTTCTGATCGGGTCTGATCAGTTCTGATCGGGTCTGATCGGTTCTGATCGGTTCTGATCGGGTCTGATCGGTTCTGATCGGGTCTGATCGTGTCTGATCTTGTCTGATCGGGTCTGATTGGTTCTGATCGGTTCTGATCAGTTCTGATTGGTTCTATCGGGTCTGATCAGTCAGTGAAGATTAAAACGCCTAAAGGAGATTTTACCCAAACTAAACTCTGATCTTTAATTGGACAGAAGAAACTTTCCGAATAAAGATTCATTTCAGATCCTTTAAAGGAACAGTCAACTTGTGACAGAGTGGAAAAGGTCAAAGGTTAGGAAGCTTTTTCTGAGGCACAGCATGTTTGTAAACCTCTGATTTTTGAAGTTTCTTCCACAGCAACATCTGATCTTCATCTGGGAAAAGTTGAGCTGAGAGAAACTGAATGTAAAACATTCAGAAAATGTGATTTTTATGAACTAAATTCATTTATTTCAGAAAATGTTCTCGTTCTGTTTCACAGCTGAGAAAAATGTCTTGATAAAATGTGAAATAATGTAGATTTTTTTCCCTCAATTATTATTAACTTAAAACAAACTCATATTTCTTGCTGAAAATTTACTTTTATTTTACTAAGATATTTGTCCTAATAACTAATAACACGTGGAAGATTTTGTGTTTTTGCAGTGAATCATTTCAATCATTTTCTGTTCCGTGTTTTTCAAACTCAGTTCCACCAGAGGGCGCCAGAGAGCCTCAAACAGGTAGAGGGAGGATGAAAACAAATGCAAAATTATTAAAAATCTGATAAATATTTTAATCAGAAATTATTTCAAACCTATAATGTACTAAATTGTATTCTGTTTTAAAATACAAATTAAAATAACTGATTGAAACATTATTGATCATCGTTCTGATTGGCTCAAATTCAAGCTAGCGTAGCATTTCAGCAAACAACATGTTAATTATTTCAAATCAAACTAATTTACTGGATTATCTAAACTTGTGATGAAGGTTACAGGCATCTGAATTCATTCTCAGCAGGAAAAATGGAACATTTTGATTTTCTCCATTCTGAACATATTAGCCTGAATTTGTGCTTTTATTGTGAAGGGCTGCTGGTACCAGGGGTCGGGGGATGGGCTTCTGCGGCTTCTTGGATCCCAGTTTCTTCATGGCGTTGTAATATTTCTTCTGCTCCTCCGTCATGAAGATATCCTGCCCTCCTAATTAAAATACACAGAAATAATTCAGTTATTTTTACTGAAACAACAAAAAAATCTACAAATAATCAGAAATTCTGAAATGAATCCAAGTCGTGTTTTGCTTGATGCTCATCTTTCGTTTCTGCTGGTTGAAGTTGTCGATGATGACTCCGATGAAGAGGTTGAGGGTGAAGAAGGAGCCGAAGATGATGAAGATGACGAAGTACAGGTACATGTAGAGATTGATCTCTTTGATCGGCTGCTCCTCCACCTGCAGCAGGAAACCAGCAGCTTCAAGAAACCATCAGGAGCCGCGGCCCGAAGCGTCCGGCTGCATCTCGCTCAATTTTCCTACATAGAACTCAAAAAACTTCTTCAATCTTTCATTTTTACTTGTTCAGTTATGAAACAAGCAAAGCAGTTTCAGCAGAGAAGAATCTGAGAATCACTGCAAATTCAAACATTAAAATGTTTCTCACATAAAAACAACAAACTGTGTCTGAAATGTTTCCATTTAGGATTTTTAAATTAAAATGCAGTGAGAATTTGACTCGCAGCGTTTTGATAACTGGATGTTTGTTGTTGTTTTATTATCCAAATGAATAAAATTCCAAATAAAAGCCTCACGTTTTCCATTGTGTTTGCTTTGAAAGTCCTGCTGTCAGTGAGAGCTTCACCCCAACATTGTTACTAAATGTGTTTCTGCATTAACTGATTCCTCAGCTATGATCATCCCTCTGAGGGCCTCAGGAGGCCCCCGGCCCGCCAGAGTCCCTCTGAGGGCCTCAGGAGGCCCCCGGCCCGCAGTTTGAGCCCCCGGCTGCTGAATCGGCGTTCAGATCAGAGATCAGCGCTGACTTACGGCTCTGGAGTCCACGGCGGCGTACATGATGTCCATCCAGCCCTTAAAGGTTGCCTGGAAACAAAAACAACAAAATGAATGAAAACCTGAAGCCCACAGCATGAGGCTGCCACCACCGAGCCTCCCAGGCTGTTTGGTGTAAATCCTGGTGAAGCGGAGCGACGCCTGGACGACCGGGCGTCTAGTCGCCTGGCTTCCCACTTCATCTGAGCGGGTCAAGTGAGTTTCCTCTGCATCGCCACGGCAACGCAGTGCTCATTTCCTGCAGCGGCGCATCAAAACGAAGGTCGACTTAGCAGCGATTTAACAGGAAGAAAACTGCTGCCGAGGTCATCAATGAAGCAACATTAAAGCCATTTAAGGGCTTCCTTCCTGCCTCTGGGAGGGAGGAAGAGGAGGAGGAGGAAGGTTAAGGGAGGGGGGGCAGGTGGAGAACAGCGGAGGGAACGATGTGTGTGAAGGAACAGATCTGTTTAATGTGAGGGGGCGACTGGCGGCCGCCACTCTGAGCTGAAATCAGCTCCTCGCCGCAGGTTACCACCTGCCATTATTGTTACACTGTAAAAGATCACATCCTCAGATAATACAACTACGAAACATGAGAAACGGCGAAGCTGCTGCCTCCTCATCACTCCCATGATGCACCTGGACGGAGGTCACATGACCTGAGCTGACACCTGGACATCAGCGGGACACGGGTCAGAACCGCAAGAACAATTAACCCAAATCTACACAAAGACACTTTTCTAAAAAATTTATTGCAAAAGTTCATTAAGCTTAAAATGAAGTTTATGTGATTCTAACTCCCACCAGCAGGTGGCAGCGTGTCCAACTTCTACCGAGTTTTAACTCCCACCAGCAGGTGGCAGCGTGTCCAACTTCTACCCAGTTTTAACTCCCACCAGCAGGTGGCAGCGTGTCCAACTTCTACCCAGTTTTAACTCCCACCAGCAGGTGGCAGCGTGTCCAACTTCTACCCAGTTTTAACTCCCACCAGCAGGTGGCAGCATGTCCAACTTCTACCCAGTTTTAACTCCCACCAGCAGGTGGCGGCGTGTCCTGCTACCCAGTTTTAACTCCCACCAGCAGGTGGCATCGTGTCCAACTGCTACCCAGTTTTAACTCCCACCAGCAGGTGGCAGCGTGTCCAACTTCTACCTAGTTTTCTGTCTGAATGGATCAGCAAAGTGACAGAATCAGAACCGTCTGAGTCTGAGGAACTGAAACCTAAAACTTCATAACCAGCAGGACGACCAGAGACAGACTGTCCTCATCTTCATCACTGTCCTCATCTTCATCACTGTCCTCATCTTCATCACTGTCCTCATCTTCATCACTGTCCTCACCTTCATCACTGTCCTCATCTTCAGCTGGGATGAAGACAATAATAGTGATGTAGATGATAATGGTGATGATGATGATGATGACAATAGTGATGAAGATGATAATGGTGATGATGATAATAGTGATGAATATGATAATGGTGATGATGATGACAATAGTGATGAAGATGATAATAGTGATGAAGATGATAATGGTGATGATGATAATAGTGATGAATATGATAATGGTGGTGAAGATGATAATAGTGATGAAGATGATAATTGTGATGAAGATGATATTGGTGATGATGATGACAATAGTGATGAAGATGATAATGGTGATGAAGATGATAATACTGATGAAGATGATAATGGTGATGAAGATGATAATAGTGATGAAGATGATAATGGTGATGATGATAATAGTGATGAAGATGATAATGGTGATGATGACAATAGTGATGAAGATGATAATAGTGATGAAGATGATAACAATAGTGATGAAGATGATAATGGTGATGAAGATGATAATAGTGATGAAGATGATAATGGTGATGATGATAATAGTGATGAAGATGATAATGGTGATGATGATAATAGTGATGAAGATGATAATGGTGATGAAGATGATAGTGATGAAGATGATAATGGTGATGAAGATGATAATAGTGATGAAGATGATAATGGTGATGATGATAATAGTGATGAAGATGATAATGGTGATGATGATGACAATAGTGATGAAGATGATAATGGTGATGAAGATGATAATGGTGATGATGATAATAGTGATGAAGATGATAATAGTGATGAAGATGATAATGGTGATGATGATGACAATAGTGATGAAGATGATAATAGTGATGAAGATGATAATGGTGATGATGATAATAGTGATGAAGATGATAATAGTGATGATGATGATGTTGTTCTGGTCTTTCTATCAAACTGTCATTTTTTACAGTGTGCAGAACTTTCCAGATGCTGATGGAAAGGTTGCCCCCCGACGGTTGCCGCGCCGACCGGCAGAACGCTGAGATGTGCTGAGGGACTCGTTGCCAGGGCGACGGGATTCTGACAAACTCTTGAGGTTTTCTGCTGCTCATCTTCCTCCTCCTCTTCCTCCTCCTCTTCCTCCTCATCTTCATCCCTCTGTCTCTCCTCTTCCTCCTCATCTTCATCCTCATCTTCATCCCTCGGTCTCTCCTCTTCCTCCTCATCTTCATCCCTCGGTCTCTCCTCTTCCTCCTCATCTTCCTCCTCATCTTCATCCCTCTGTCTCTCCTCTTCCTCCTCATCTTCATCCCTCGGTCTCTCCTCTTCCTCCTCATCTTCCTCCTCATCTTCATCCCTCTGACTCTCCTCTTCCTCCTCATCTTCATCCCTCTGTCTCTCCTCTTCCTCCTCATCTTCATCCTCATCTTCATCCCTCTGTCTCTCCTCTTCCTCCTCATCTTCCTCCTCATCTTCCTCCTCATCTTCATCCCTCTGTCTCTCCTCTTCCTCCTCCTCTTCCTCCTCCTCTTCCTCCTCATCTTCATCCCTCTGTCTCTCCTCTTCCTCTCACTTTAAAACCTTTAATCCTCTCAACTCGTCTCTCCAGCCCACATCCCCTCCGCTGGCTCCTTTCGCTCAGGTTATTATTTGAACCGTTTTCTTCTACCTGTAGATCCGTCGCTTCACCTGCCTCTAAAAATAAAAGCCTCTCCGACGCCTGAGGCGGGCGAGCGAGGAAGAGGAGGGAGGAAGGATCCTGACCGGGTTTTATTCATGTTCCGTTAAACGGGAAATTATGGAGGGAGAAAAACAAAAACCAAGTTTCAGAAAAAAATAGAAAAATTAAAGGAGTAAAAATCAAAAACGATCCTTCTATTATTATTCATTTATAATTATTATTTATAAACATTTCTGGAAATGAAGTTTTATTGGATATTTTGATTATCTGTTGACAATTATATTTTTAATGAAACAATTTGTAAAATTACATTAAAATAATTGTTTTCATATTTTTTTATAAAAATATACAATAATTTTTAATTAGCAATTCTAAGTTGAAAATAACAGTTAAAATTATTATTTTTAAAGGTTATTCCATTAAAATAATTTGACAATTTTAACATAATTATTTTAATTAATTTCTTTACAAAATAATTTTGATAATTATCTTAAATGTTGTAAGAATTATTTTCATAGAAATAAAATATGAAATGAAACAATAAGGAGGCTCCAACTCAGTTTGATGGAAATGAAAGTCTGATCAATCAGAATCGATCAATATAATGATCAACTGATGCAGCAAAATGATTTTATTGCATCATTTGATGAAAAGATGCAGAGGAAGAGGAAGGCCAAGAAACGAAAAGACAAGATGATGAGAGAGAAGAAATGATGGACCGGCTGCAGACCAGACCAGAGTCAGTCCGGTCCGGTCCGGTCCGGTCCAGCAGGAGTGGGCGGTTCGCCTCTGAATGCTCTAAAAACAGCTGTGATCTTTCGGAGCGCCTGCAGTTTCTCTCACTTCCTGTTGAGTCTGAATTCAGACCTGGAAGTGAAAAAACGAGGAAGGCTCTGATTTCCGCGGCGCTCGGCGGGAGCAGCTTTGTCCCGATTCAAACAGAAAGGTTAAAGGCACAAACACAAGCTGCGGGTGCAATCGGTTTGCTCCAGGAATTACCTCTTAAAGAGACGGTACGTCTCACCTTTGCCTGAGTTCAATCATTTTTTACAGAGTATGTTCAGTGAAAGTTGAATCTTTTTCTCAGAAATGATAGAAATTGTGATGTGAATGTAAATCCTAACTGGACCGGGTTTTCAGTCAGCCCGGTCAGCGGTTCTGGTTCTGTGACGCTCACCACTTGCAGCAGAGCCAGGTATCCGGCGCCGACGTTGTCAAAGTTGACCTTGACCTTGGTCCAGTAGTGCTGCGAGGTGTCGTTGGCGGCGTCGCACTCGGACCGGTTGTTGATGAGCGAGGCGTCGTACACGAAGCCGGTCCGGTTGACGCAGCGGCCGAACTTCCCGGCGAAAAGGTTGACGCCCATGATGCTGAAGATGAGCCAGAAGATCAGGCAGACCAGCAGCACGTTCATGATGGAGGGGATGGCGCCGATCAGGGCGTTCACCACCACCTGCACACAAACCGGACCGGGTCAGGGGGTCGCCACAGGTCGCTCCGGGTCGCCCCGGGTCGCCCCGGGTCGCTCCGGGTCGCTCCGGGTCGCTCCGGGTTGCCCCGGGTCGCTCCGGGTCGCTCCGGGTCGCCCCGGGTCGCCTCGGGTCGCTCCGGGTCACCCCGGGTCGCCCCGCGTCCAGACGGCAGAACGGCGCTCTGATGGTCAGGCGGAACCAGAAGTTCAGATATTTAAATTTAGAACCGAATGATTTTCATCAAGACAAAAATATATCCAGCATTTCCTCAGAAACGCACTGTAAATAATGATCTGTTGGGTTCAGGGTGATGCTTGGTTTGGGTCGGCGTCCGTCCACCGGACCATCAGCGGGTCAGGAAGACATGCAGGTTTCAAACAACACAGAGAAGATGGATTCTTATCAGAGCTGATCTGAACATCAACAGTTTAACCTGAATGATGTTTTCATTCATTTAAAAATCATTTCAAACATTCTGAGTTCAAAACCTCAGAGTTCTGGTTCCATCTGCTCCAGTCGTTTCTACCCATAATGCACCACAGGAACCCAAGCAGAGAGGAAGAGGAGGACGAAGGTTGATGTGGACCCGAGTCGACGGCGCCTGCAGAACTCACCTGTGAATGACTTTCCACTAATATTAATAATATTACAATTTTCAAATTATTTGATCTGATTTCAGGTCAGATTGTCGCTGTTAAGTTTTTATAGACAATAATATTTGGACTCGGTTCTGGAGGTTCTGCAGAACGCCGACCCGGTTCCACTCAGTAATACTGACTCCTGAAGAGACTCTGAATACTGACAGGAGAAACGATGGTTAGAATGAGACATGAGGGACGAGGGACAGGAGACGAGGATTCTGGGAAATATTCCTTATTTCAACACCTGAGAGATGAAACTGATTTATTCTGATAAATACAAAAAATCACATCAATCTCATCATTGATTGATTCATTGATGCATCAGCTGCGATTAGCAGTGACTTGGACGTGTTCAATTTGGATTTGAAGTGTCTGGATCAGAACCGGATCTGAATTAGAACCGGATCTGGATCAGAACCGGATCTGGATGAGAACCGGATCTGGATCAAAACCGGATCTGGATCATAACTGGATCTGGATCAGAACTGGATCTGGATCAGAACCGGATCTGAATCAGAACCGGATCTGGATCAGAACCGGATCTGGATCAGGATCAGAACCGGATCTGGATCAGAACCGGATCTGGATCAGAACCGGATCTGAATTAGAACCGGATCTGAATCAGAACCGGATCTGGATCAGAACCGGATCTGAATCAGAACTGGATCTGAATCAGAACTGGATCTGGATCAGAACCGGATCTGAATTAGAACCGGATCTGAATCAGAACCGGATCTGGATCAGAACCGGATCTGAATCAGAACTGGATCTGGATCAGAACTGGATCTGAATTAGAACCAGATCTGGATCAGAACCGGATCTGAATTAGAACTGGATCTGGATCAGAACCGGATCTGGATCAGAACCGGATCTGGATCAGAACCGGATCTGAATCAGAACTGGATCTGAATCAGAACCGGATCTGGATCAGAACCGGATCTGAATCAGAACTGGATCTGGATCAGAACTGGATCTGAATTAGAACCGGATCTGGATCAGAACCGGATCTGAATCAGAACTGGATCTGGATCAGAACTGGATCTGAATTAGAACCGGATCTGGATCAGAACTGGATCTGGATGAGAACCGGTTCTGAATTAGATCTGGATCTGGATCAGAACTGGATCTGGATCAGAACCGGTTCTGTAGAGTAAACTGCTGTCTGGTTTAATGACAAAGTGAATTGATTAGCTCTTATTGACGATAATGAAACTAAAATCTGCATGAATGGTGTTTCTGGTGATCGTCATGTTAACGCTCCAACATAACGGTTTCATGGTTCTTCGGTTCTCGTCCGAAGAACGAGGATCCTCCTCTTAGCAGAGGAGGAGCTGCTTTCAGCTGGTGCTCAGGTGTTGGCACATTAATACTGACTCTTACCCTCATGCCTTCAAATCTGGACAGGGCCCTGAGGGGCCGCAGGGCCCGCAGCGTCCGCAGGGACTTGATGGCCGCCAGGTCGGAGTAACCCAACGTGTTGGCCACCAGACTGACCAAGGAAACCTGGAGGACGAGCAGGGACAGGAGCAGGAAGAGGAAGAGACACAGAAGAGAGGGAGGAGTTAGCGGCTCTTCTAACGCCGAGAGGAAGAGGAGGAGGAGGAAGAGGAGAAACGGAGCGCAGGGCGCCGCGGCGATCCAGGGGGCGCTGCAGGCCAGAAACGTCTCGTTATTCACAGGAGGAAAGAAGCGCCGCTCAGCCAGTCTGAACGGACGAGTCCGGGATCCACACAGAGGAAACGTTTCAGGTTCTGATCCGCCCGAGACGTTTCCTCTGACGGAACCGCACAGAACCGGGCGGGTCAGCCGGTTCTTACCCTGATACCGGCGAAGCGGGACGCGGCCCGGAGAGGACGGAGAGCCCTGAACGTCCTGAGAACCCGCAGGGTGGAGACCTGGTTCACCGGGAGGAACTGGGCCAGGTAGGCCAGAACTGAGATCTACGGGTCACACAGGGGTCACAGTGAGGTCAGAGAGGTCAGAGAGAGTTCACAGAGAGGTCAGAGAGAGGTCACAGCGAGGTCACAGTGAGGTCAGAAAGAGTTCACAGTGAGGTCAGAGAGGTCACAGAGTGGTCACAGTGAGGTCAGAGAGGTCAGAGAGAGGTCACAGAGAGGTCACACAGCGGTCACAGTGAGGTCAGAGAGGTCAGAGAGAGGTCAGAGAGAGTTCACAGTGAGGTCAGAGAGAGGTCACAGAGAGGTCACAGTGAGGTCAGAGAGGTCAGAGAGAGGTCACAGAGAGGTCACAGAGAGGTCAGAGAGAGGTCACAGAGAGTTCACAGAGAGGTCAGAGAGAGTTCACAGAGAGGTCACAGAGAGGTCACACAGCGGTCACAGTGAGGTCAGAGAGAGGTCACAGAGAGGTCAGAGAGAGGTCACAGAGAGGTCAGAGAGAGGTCACAGAGAGGTCAGAGAGAGGTCTAAGGTCAGGTAAAGCAGAGCTGCTCAAATACAGGATTTATTAAACCAAACTGGCAGATTGATGCTTTTAACAGGACTTTGATTAGACAACATCTGTCTTTACACCACATTAATACAACAACAACAATAATAATAATAATAATAATAATAATAGTAATAATAGTAATAATAATAATAATAAATACAGCGCCCCCTGTGCGACTCCATATCTAATCGTTTCTTTAAGATCTGCAGCTGATCAGTTTCCATTCAGGTTCATCGATCTTCATGTGTTTCATCTTCAACACATGAAGATAAAAACTGAAGAAAATCTGCAGCACAAAGTTCCACAGGGATGTTTCTAGGATTCCTTCTTATTTGAATAAAATGATTTAAAAACCTTCAGAGCCTCAAGAGCAAACAGGAGGATGGAGCCAAACTTACTGAAACTGACGCCATGTTTGAAAGAGAGAGAGAGAGGGAGCGGGCGAGCTGCAGGCTGCGTGTTTCAGCTGAGTCAGCAGGATGTGGGGCGTTTTAACAGCGGAGCCGAGAGAATCCACTCATTGTTCAGGTCTCCAGTTAAACCCATTAAAACCCTCAAGTTTAACTCCAACATGCTGGTTTCTGAAACCTTAAGACTTTCACATCCTCCATCAGGAAACAACACACTCCGTCCCTGCTGTCCCGTTTTCACAGATCTCTCTCTCTCTCTCACACACACACACACATATCCACACACACACACACACACATATCCACACACACACACACACACACACACACACACACACACACACACACACACACACCACACAGTGACGGAGCAGGCGATGTCTTACATCGACGATGAGGAAGTCCAGCCAGCACCAGTAGTTGGTGAAGTACTTCTTGAACCCGTAGGCGAGCCATTTGAGCGCCATCTCCAGGATGAAGATGTAGGTGAAGATCTTGTCAGCATATTCGAGCACCACCTTGACGACCCTTCTCTGCTCGATGTAGATGTCCTCAAAGGCCTGTAGGGGGCGATAAGGGGGAGAAAGGTCAAGTCAAATTTAACGCATTGCGTCCTGTACAGCAGGACCAAGATGGCGGCCGCTGACCAGAGCTCCCGAGCTGAGAAGGATCATGAAGATGATGAAGGACTCGAACCAGCTGTGCTCTACGATCTGGTAGCAGGTCTTCCTCGTTCTCCACCACATCTGTCCCAGACCCGCCGTGGTGTCGATGTCGCAGCACCGGAACCGGGACACGCACACTGCAGGCGACAGGAAGCAGAACCGCGCATCAGACAGGAGGTTTCAGAAGCTGAGGCAACCCGTCCGCTTTCCCCCTCGGGTCACATTAGAAACCAGGACAGGAGAAACTTGTCACAGCGGGTGGATCAGGGTGGATCAGGGTGGATCGGGGTGGATCAGGGTGGATCGGGGTGGATCGGGGTGGATCAGGGTGGATCAGGGTGGATCAGGGTGGATCGGGGTGGATCGGGGTGGATCAGGGTGGATCAGGGTGGATCAGGTGGATCGGGGTGGATCGGGGTGGATCAGGGTGGATCGGGTGGATCGGGGTGGATCGGGGTGGATCAGGGTGGGTCAGGGTGGATCAGGGTGGATCGGGGTGGATCAGGGTGGATCGGGGTGGGTGGATCAGGGTGGATCAGGGTGGATCAGGGTGGATCGGGGTGGATCGGGGTGGATCAGGGTGGATCGGGGTGGATCGGGGTGGATCGGGGTGGATCAGGGTGGGTCAGGGTGGATCAGGGTGGATCGGGGTGGGTCAGGGTGGATCGGGGTGGATCGGGGTGGATCGGGGTGGATCGGGGTGGATCAGGGTGGATCAGGGTGGATCAGGGTGGATCGGGGTGGATCGGGGTGGGTGGATCAGGGTGGATCAGGGTGGATCGGGGTGGATCGGGGTGGGTGGATCAGGGTGGATCAGGGTGGATCGGGGTGGGTGGATCAGGGTGGATCGGGGTGGATCAGGGTGGATCGGGGTGGATCAGGGTGGATCAGGGTGGATCGGGGTGGATCAGGGTGGATCGGGGTGGATCAGGGTGGATCAGGGTGGATCAAGGTGGATCAGGGTGGATCGGGGTGGATCAGGGTGGATCAGGGTGGATCGGGGTGGATCGGGTGGATCGGGGTGGATCAGGGTGGATCAGGGTGGATCAGGGTGGATCAGGGTGGATCAGGGTGGATCAGGGTGGATCGGGGTGGGTGGATCAGGGTGGATCAGGGTGGATCAGGGTGGATCAGGGCGGGTGATCTGAGGCTGAAAAACACTAAAACTCACTGAGGAATTCTGATTCATTTCTAGAACAAACATCTTGTTATAAACGAAGTGATGTGTGAGTGGAACTGGTAGTTTTTCATCCATATTAAGCAACTATTTATTTAAAACAAAGTCCCATAAAGTCACTTCTACTTTAGTTTTGTCTTATTTTAAGTGAAGTCAGATATTAAGTCCAGGAACCAGAGCAGGATTCCTGGTTTTGAGTGTAAATGTTTGCTGCTGTTGCGTAACGTGTGGCTCTGAGACAGATGTTGAGCTCCAGGTTGTCCGTAATGAAGCTCCCTGTGTGTGTTTGGGTGAAATGAAGCGACGAAGGGAGCAGATTGGAGATCTCTCATCAACTTCCTCCTCGTTTTCTGAGCTGAACTGACGGCAGGACGGTGAAGCCGACAGGAAAAACACATTCGATGTTCATCACGTGTCTTCCAAACGGTAATCGGGACCCGATGGAGCAAAGATAAGATCACAGATCAGGAGGAAAAATCTGAGGAATAAACTTTAAAAGTTTCCCATTTTGACTTTTTATTTAGTCCCACTTTGCTCTGCGTCGATAAAATCTAAGTGTCTGAAAGCAGCGCATCGATCAAACCTCTGAGAATAACGGCTGATCTTGATAGACGCGGCTGATGGATGCTGGAAGCGAAGCAGCGATGGTCACTCTGCTGATAACGAGGCTCGGGTTTCACTCCGACCGGCCGACCGCGTCTGAAAGCTGGTCTTTAACCAGATCTGATCGATGTGTCAACAACAATATCAGGACGGCATGAAACTCAGAGTCAGGATGGAGAGAGAGTGATTGCTGAGTGGTGCTGAGAGGCCCGCGGGCCGCGACGATGATGGAGTCGGAGCTGACAGGAAGGACGCTCAGAGAGTGAGAGGATGAGGCTGGAAAAACCCGACAAGGCGACACGTGAAGAAGAGACGACATGAGATCAGGAACGACAGCAGCTGGAGGACGGAGCCCTGAGGGACGCCTCCCTGATCGTCCTCCATCATGAGCCAGTGAGTAACGTGAAGTCAAACACCGAGGTTCAGAGAAAATCCAAATCCGTTTGCCGAGTCAGAGTCCGGTCCAGTTGGTGACCTCTGGTTCTGGGTTCGGTTGAACTCTGGTTCAGTTTGAATGTGAACGCCATGCGGACCGGAGAGCGCTCCAAAAGCAGGAAGTGGAAATATTTTAGAAGCGATGCAGCGTGGCAGGAGACGCTGAGCGGATCTGTGCAGGTCGGTCAGCATCGTGACCTTTGCAGGTCGGTCAGCATCGTGACCTTTGCAGGTCGGTCAGTATCGTGACCTTTGCAGGTCGGTCAGTATCGTGACCTTTGCAGGTCGGTCAGTATCGTGACCTTTGCAGGTCGGTCAGTATCGTGACCTTTGCAGGTCGGTCAGTATCGTGACCTTTGCAGGTCGGTCAGCATCGTGACCTTTGCAGGTTGGTCAGCATCGTGACCTTTGCAGGTCGGTCAGTATCGTGACCTTTGCAGGTCGGTCAGCATCGTGACCTTTGCAGGTCGGTCAGTATCGTGACCTTTGCAGGTCGGTCAGCATCGTGACCTTTGCAGGTCGGTCAGCATCGTGACCTTTGCAGGTCGGTCAGCATCGTGACCTTTGCAGGTCGGTCAGCATCGTGACCTTTGCAGGTCGGTCAGTATCGTGACCTTTGCAGGTCGGTCAGTATCGTGACCTTTGCAGGTCGGTCAGTATCGTGACCTTTGCAGGTCGGTCAGTATCGTGACCTTTGCAGGTCGGTCAGTATTGTGACCTTTGCAGGTCGGTCAGTATCGTGACCTTTGCAGGTCGGTCAGTATCGTGACCTTTGCAGGTCGGTCAGTATCGTGACCTTTGCAGGTCGGTCAGCATCGTGACCTTTGCAGGTCGGTCAGCATCGTGACCTTTGCAGGTCGGTCAGTATCGTGACCTTTGCAGGTCGGTCAGCATCGTGACCTTTGCAGGTCGGTCAGCATCGTGACCTTTGCAGGTCGGTCAGTATCGTGACCTTTGCAGGTCGGTCAGTATCGTGACCTTTGCAGGTCGGTCAGCATCATGACCTTTGCAGGTTGGTCAGCATCATGACCTTTGCAGGTCGGTCAGCATCGTGACCTTTTGTGACCTTTGCAGGTTGGTCACTCGCTCCCTGGACGCTGTGAGGGAGTGTTATGGTGGGGAGTGATGGACGGCTGCAGCAGATGATGATGGCGCTGCTCCTCTCCGCTCTGATTGCAGCGTCTGCCTCTAATTACAGCTCTGATTACTCGGCTTTCTGCTTCCATGGAGACTAAAAGGCTCTTCCTGATCTGTAATCCGACCCAGACAGAGAGGAAACCCCTCAGCTTTCAACCGGCTCTAATGATTCAAACTGAACGCAGCTCTGAACGCCTCGATGGGCCAGACGACGTATTGATCTGCTATTGATCTGCTATTGATCTGCTATTGATCTGCTATTGATCCGCCATCCAACCAAAATGCAACCAGAACCGTTTGGATCCAACTCTAATTAACAATGAAACAAATAAAGTCCATCAGTTCAGGCGGTTTGTTAAGATCAACACTTTTATTTCTAGTCAGATAAAAATGACTGCAGACTCATAAAAAACTTTTGACAGTGATTTCATGTGAACAGAACCTCATCTATCCAGAGACGTTTACTGAAAATCAGATTAAATTTATGAAACCTGGAGGAATTTAACGTTAGTTCATGTTCGAGTTACTGACAACAAAACAGTTTTTGTTTTTCAGACTGGATTCCTTTAATCAGGCAAACGCTCCACACCGTATTTAGTTTTGGTTTTATGTCATTTATTAATGTTTATATTTATAAACTTAGCTTAACAGAAATAATTCATATTCTAGTTTTTTGTAATCATTTTCCTCCCAGGTGGTAAAATCTTCCCAGTGAAGCCCGGCTGATCGATGGCTGCGTTTTGTGCTGTTTTGTGCTGCGGCTCACTGCATGAACTGTGCAGGTTATATAAGCCGGGCTGCAGGCCGGAGCGCAGCAGCATCCAGATGCATAATGCAGCGGGGTCGTGACCTCACACTCCGAGGTGTTCTCAGATTAGAAACGGCTTCATTTGCTTCTCATTTGAAATTTAATTCTCTGACTTCACATGTTCAGATCAGCCACTCAGAAACTTTCAGACGTTTTTTCTTTGCAGTTTTCCAGAGAAACAGCAGAAGTTTTTCAGGAGGCGCCTGGTTTCGTTGCTCGAGGGCACAGCGGCAGCCGGACTCCGGAGGCTCCACCTGAAAACGGGAGGCCCCACTCTGCCCACTGAGGCAGAAACACTCCCACTCCCACTCTGGGCATCACAACATTAACCAATGAGCTGGCATTTAGACGGCTAATGAGGCGGCTAACGCGGCGCGGCGTGTCGGCGCTGATCAGAGGGTTAAACCTGCTCCTTCTGGCTGGAGGAGGCTGAGGGTGAAATAATGACTGCCTGTGTTAGACGGTGAATTCAGGGCTTTGCTGCCCAGCTGTGTGCCTGATAAAAATACATTTCTACTGGAAGAAAGTGCGGCTGAAGCAGCAACCTGCTGATGGAGGAGTGAATAGAAAACGACCTCCTCTGTGGTTTCCTTTCTCCTCCGGAGGAACGCCAAAGAAAAGTGTTCCCTTTGCACATTTTACTTCTAGCTCAGTGACGGCGCAGTGAAAGGGAAAAAAGGGCAGCACACACGTTGTTGGAACTGCAGCGGAGGTGGAAATTAAAATTCCCATTTTTCAGCTTTATCTGCCTCAGCAGTGGCACGTGTGGCGAAGGAAAGCTCTTATTATTGACAGGAAGGATTTAATCCAGCAAACCGGAGCGGTTCCGCCAGAATAAAGACCCAGAACGACTCCGTCCGGGTCGCCGTAAACATCCACTACTGTTCAGGTAGTTTAACCTGCAGCACAAATCTGCTTTAATTAGAATAATTCCTGCAGAAAAATCTGCTAAAATATCACTAGAAGAAAACACTGCT